TGGAACGGAAGGCGTATTTGAAGGCGTACCATGTGCCAACTGAGGTGGATGTTAGTATGAATGCATATGGAATTGTGGATTTGGTGAGGCTTACCTTCGCCGATGAATGTGCCCGCTGCAACAATCGCGAATCCAATCCATAGGCCATAGACAACACCACACAACAGCGCGATAATCTCATGACCGAACAAAGGAGGGAAAGAAATAACAATCAGGATAGCAATAGGAATTAGCCATCCTGCTGGCAAGTCTCGCACTTTCTCGGACCACGGCCGTAATTTCTGCACAGACACCGTTAGCCACGTATTCGTCGACACCAAAGCAAAACAGCGTAAACTTACCTCAACAACGGCGTCATGTTTGATCGTGATGATGACAGTCAAGATGCCAATGATGATGAACAGTATGTGCCATGCTGGATGCTAAGTCAGACACGAAAGCTCTGTTGTCATAGGGGCGGCTTGTGCTCTTACGGATGTACTTGGGGGCGAGGAAGAATCTTTTCCAATCGAATTTCTGGTATTCTGTTTCTTCTGGGGGGCCTTGAGGCTTCTTTTTCTTAGGCGCGCCGTCCATCATACCCGACATTTCAATGTCGTTTTCGCGTTTGCGGAACCACATGGCGGATCCTACGAGTGTGCTGCCCTGCTCCCGCGGGGGATTTGCCGTGTTAAGAAACCAGGTTCGGGGGTGACTGCGCTCCCGGGGTCAATGCACAAAACGAACGTGGAAGTCGCGAGGATCCGTTATCGCTATCGCTCAACGACGTAAGGGACGCAAGTTGTGAGAAGGAACGGTGGGCAAAAGTAGGTTGGCGGTGCGTGGTGTCGGTGGCGCGCAGCTGAAGGTGGATAGGGGACTGATGTATCAAGCTTCGCGCCTTGAAACCGGCATAGCCACATCCGCGTAATTGAGCGTGGGCCAATGGCGACGCGCCGCGACGTTGCTATGTGAGACACTGGCGCGGGAGATCGGCGCTTGCACTGGTGCGAGTTTTAAAACCATTCACCAGTTTCGCCTTGTTTGCGCATCGTTTGCCATGGATCAGCACGCGAGATTTCAAGGCCCTGGAATCGTCTTCATGCGTCGCCGTTGGAAGTCCGATACCCGAAGCGCTCGGCAGATCTCAGGATGGCGGGTTCCTTGAGCTGGCTACCCGTATAAAGTGGGCGGTGCATGCATGCGCCTCAGCCATCATCTGCCTTTCCCCGTGTTCGTCCGATGTCAGCCCAGTTGAATGGGGATTATATTTAGGTAGCGTTGCTGATCACTATACAACCCCAACGTGGTTGACCGTTGGACAATGTGGAGATGGTGCGTCACTGTGTTATGTCACTCCGCGCTCACGATTCATAGCGACATGCTTCTTTGGGCATTTTGAACGCAAATGATTACAGGACAAACGTGCAAGATGCTGAGTGTGTATAAGAGAACCAATGGTCATTGCATCCCGGATACACATGGTCATAGCGGCTTAGTCAACAAATTTCAAATCTGCGTGGTTTCGCCGATGCGTTCTCATCCTATTCCAAATTCTCAAGATCCTAAATCACGTCCACACTCCAAACTCCATCACCATGCGATATGCAAACGCCACTAGCGTGGACGAGAGGCGTGTATTCATCTGTTCTCCTTCCCTCGCGTATCTTCTGCTCATTGCTTCAATCAAAGTGTCGCAACCATAGCGCTGCACCCTGTTCGCAACAGCGGCTTCGGTTTCGTTGTATCCTCGGTCTTTAGTCACGTCACATGCAAAGGATGCCCGCATGAGCGGAGAGCGTACATGAAGTCTTTCTAGGATCGATCTACCTTTTCCGACATTTTGCTATTCCTCCCTGTGTTGTGTCAGCTTTCGAAATGCATGGGAGGCTGATGCTTGACTAACGCTTGACAATCTTCGTGGAGCGATGACACAGTATGAGTTCTACATTATCTGCCATATTTGTCAGTTTGTATTCTGGTTTTGGACGCCCCTCCCACGTTGTTCGCGCTGTACTCACATGGATATCGTAAGCTCCAGCGCCAAACTTGACTGTCAGAAGCATCGTCAACATATCTGCATCTGTGTTTCGCCCAGAGATTGACTGCGCGTCTTCAAAATCCATGACTTCATGGTCTTGCTCGACAAACGAGGACAGTGCTGTTTCGGCAAGCGTGTTGATGACAGAGGGAGAAAAGATATTACGTGTTACTTGTCACGCCCATTCAAGAACTGACTAGCGAGGACTCGAGAGTGTACGAAAGGGTTGGTGTTGGGTTCATGCTCGGCAAGTTCATTTCATTGGACGGAGAGGATATCATCATGATAGAATAGTCGAGTAACGAAGCATGGTGTGATTCTAATTGATGCAGAAAGTTTTCTACGAAGCACACGCTGCGCGAGCATGTCTCTTTATGTCCTGACGCGCTATCACGTGGAACCACTCTCCGCCCCACCTTGGCTCGTGCGGACTGATGCCTGGAGGACGTCACAGCCAATGGCGGCAACGCATCCTCTAACAACATCGCGCGAGCCATGCCGCAATCGCATCAAGGGATGGCAGCTAAAGACTGCGCCTCCGGCACAATCACTTAATTCTTTCTTCCCTCTTCTCTCTGTTGCAGTATCACCATGGCCGAAACAGTAACACAGTCAAACGCGGAAGAGGTCGCGCACGATGACCTCTGCCCCGTAAGCACATCACGCAATCACGCTTGCCGCTGCTAACAGATGTCAGATCTGCCAGCTACTCCTCTTTACGCCCGTCAAAACTCAGTGCAACCATCTGCTATGTGCGTCATGCATGGCACAGTGGTCCGACGCCTCTAATACAAATCGCATCGAACATTCAAGCTGGGACGTGAACCTCGCAGACTTCGACCCAAATTATGATCCCACGTATGACCTTGAAGCAAACTGTCCCATGTGCAGGACTCGCACCACTGCGGCCCCGGATAACGCGCTGGCGAGGCAGTTGGAACACAAGTATCCCGTCACATATGCCGAGAGACGGGCAGAGGAGGAAGAGGACAGGGGATCGCGCATCGGGCGTGATGGCTTTGAGGGTGTCATGATCCTCATAGGCAACAAGCACAGGCTTATCAGGAACCCCGGCGATGACAATGAGCACGACTGGACGTTTTTTGTGCGTACATCGAGACCGGACTTGATCAAGGAAGTACACATCCATCTGGTACGTTCCCGAGTTCTGTCCCAGTCAAGACAAGGCTCGGCATTCAATATCTCGATGCCAAGGTCTCCCCGCACAGAGCGTCTAGTAAGCCCAAGGGGAGTTCGACAGCATCTCGGGAAGGATCAAACGGGCGCATGACTTGGAGACACTTGCGAATCGACCACTTTACCTATCACTGTAGCGCTGACAAATTTCTAGCACCCTACGTTTCGGCGAAACCACGTCATCCTCCGAAAGCCGCCTTATGAGTTCAAAGCTCGGGGCTGGGGAACCTTCGTCGTTCGCACCGAGATCGTTCTAAAGCAACCATATAATTGGATCATCGATAACCCTGGCACCAGGCAACAGGCACTTGAGCTCGAGTGGGAACTTGACTTCGAAGGCAGAGGCAGACAGGGCCGCGTGCGAGCGAAGGTCAACAAAGCCAATGTGGAAGCCAGTCAGACCGGTCGTACTTTGCGGGCAAGGCGTCCACCCCCAGCTGACCCTGATCCGGATGAGGATGATGAATTAGACGACGACGGCGACTATCAGGCAGCTGGGGACGACGAAGATGACGACGAAAGCTCATCGGACGAGGACTTTGAGGGAGACACCAGTGACTACGTTGAGCCGTCCAGAAGATAGCAATCAGAGGCACCAGACAATGTCTAGCGCGGCCTTCGTTTCGACTATCAACTTATATTTGTCTTCGTCTCAATTTAGCCAGCTCGGTGGCAACCCTCTTCTGACAGTCCATCGGGGCTGCGTGTACATGTGCACTGGGGTGAATCCACCAAGTGATTCAGACGTGCTGAAACTGTGCATGCCTCTACAAGATGCGGCTTGTTCATAATCGCCGAAACACTCGTCATGAGTAAGCGTGTGCAGTCACATGGGGAAACAGATATGTATCTCTGTCAGGGAGGATGTAGTCTTCTGGCCAAGCGTTGTTCGCTCGTTTCAGCACTTGCGCTGGCACAAATTTCCATTTCAAGAACTCGCAGGCCAACTGCAGGTATCGGCGTGCTGCTGCAAGCAAGATACGCGTTCCTTGGCAAGAGTAAGCACGATCGGAATTCAGATAGCGTTTGGCGAATACAAAGGTGTGCTCAGCCTGGACCGCAGCATCTTGCGAGACCGCAGACTGTCCGCTGAGCTTATCTGAAAGCTTGGCAGCGAATGCTGGTTCGGCCATCGTTGGCAAGCATCCTAGAAGATCGGCACAACTTACTGCCCCTGCACCGATCACACCGACAACGTGGTTCGCCTTACAGATTCGAGATACACAAAGTCGTGCCGCTCAACGCTGACCATGCAGCACATCTGCACGGCTCACGGCATACGACACTTCCCTACCAACAGCAAGCGACCTTCATGTCGTGCAGATTTAAGAATACCCTTCGGATTGTACCGCTTGTTCTGACATGCATGTGCGTCTATTCAGGCCTGCCCGTTGGTTCATGCCGCGGTTTCCGTTGTCTACGCCTCACTGGTGTTGTGTCTGGAAGTGTGTGGTTACTACCCTGGCAATTCCCCGGGTGCACAAGTCTAATCAATCGCTCGGTACAGATGATTTGTTCAAGCTTCCTAACAACAATTTTATGGCCAAATTCACGATGTTTCGGGGGCGAAGGCTCACCACATACCGCGGTAAGACTACTACTATCCACTGTCGACGACGGACCGACGCGTGCTTGGCAGACACAGCACTGTTCTAGGGCAGCTTTGCTGATAGCTCGCGCTTATAATATATCTTGTGTGGGATAGTTGCATTTTATCTAGCTTTCCCCTCAGTTTGATCGCATCACTAACGAAGTTCATTCCGTCTCTTTCGTTTATTTCATCATGGACCTCGCACGTTATTTCAGTCTACGGCGGAAGACTACCGACAGTCACGGCAGTGCGCATACAGGACATAGGAGCAGGCGGACTTACCTGCCGCTCCTCGCAAATCCCATCAACGAAGATGTCCTTGAAGTAGTGACGAACAATTCCACAGACCTGGAAAAGACCAATACTCACACCAGCACGTTCGACAGTTCGAATGATACGACCACATTTGCTGGAAACGGCAGGACGAGCCGCGGAAACATCATCATTTACAAGCAACATACAGAGGCTAGCACGATAGAGCTTTTCTACGACCTCTTTTTCGTTGCCAACCTTGCATACTTCACGGCTATGCATCAACATACTGATGCAGAGTGTACGCATGTTTGTCCAAGCCTTTATGCAGTGACTGACACTCTATTAGCACTCATTAACTACCTCAAACTTTTCACTCTGATGTGGTTTACTTGGCTGAGCGTCACACTATTCGACGTGCGGTTCAGTATCGACTGTGTGTGGAATCGGTTTCATAAAGCCATACAGTTCGGCATCTTCACTGGCTTTGTGTATGCCGGTCCGGTCTTCGACAAGTACAGCACCAGTGGCGTTGAGAAGTCATACCGGAATTTTGCCATTGTACTCGTCATCGGTAGAATTGCGATCGCTGTACAATACGCTGTGGTTATGTGGCAGGGTCGCATGTTCCGTCAGACATTAATTCCTTTAGGTCTGAGCGCTGGTGTGCATGCCGCCGCAGCAATAGGCTATGCCATCACTATGGTTGTCTTTCCTAGGGGTCGTGTTGGTCTTGAAGAGCAACTCGCATGGCAAGTATACTTCTTTCGATTCAGCTGCTCAGACTAACAAAGGGCGCAGGGTGATCATATCCATTGTTGAAGGTCTTCTGATCTTTCTCATCGCCATGATATGGCGGATCATCAGTTTCAAGTATACCCATCTTACGGAGCGGTTACAACTGCTCACCCTCATCATCATCGGAGAAGGGATCATTGGGATGGTGAAGAGCGTAGCGTGCATTACAAAAGGTCAGACGAGCAATAACATGAGTGAGATCGGAACCGTCATTGCAGCTGTCCTTCTCTTGGTATGTCGCCACGTATGAGTACTTCGGGGAACGCTGCTAATCAAGCTCATAGTACCTTCTGTGGATGCTGTATTTCGACCAGCTTTCTCACGATCGCTTCGGAACTCTACGGCAACAAGTGTGGGCTCTCTTACATTATCCGCTACACTCAGCAATTCTCTTATGTGTCGAAGGCAATACGTCGCTGATCGTATGGAATTCTGCCGTCCAAGCTCTCCGATGGATATGGTCCTTCAAGCCAAACGATTATTCCAAACCAGCGGATGGCTACTCTGACACCGCTAGCTATATTGACTACCTCAATCAGAGCATGATTGCAGTCAATGGTAGATTCAAGAGCAAATACTGGAACACAACATACAACTGGAACACCAACTTCACTGCTATCGAGAACTACACTGCAACGTATGGATTCAAATCGGACGAGTGGAACAACCGCACCGGCGACGTCGTTCGTTACATGTTCGACAGGGCGCAAGTCTTTGTGTATGAGGCACATGCCGATTCTCTAGCAAAACTCAACGCTGTGACATCAACTACGACCAGTCCACGAGTCAAGCTGGACGCGGTATCTGATGTTTTCAACACCACTACAATGCAGTTCTTCATTGGTGCTGGCTGTGTATTGCTGGTATTGGCCATCATGTATTGGTTCAACAAGATACACAAGACGAAATACGAATTCGGCGAGATCATCAACAGAGTCGTCGTTGGCTTCACGCTCATCATTCTGGGAGTGTCTACTGTCATTGCCGACAAGACAACCAACGGTTTCAAGTTCAAAGGGAGCCATTGGATAATCCCAATAGTGGTGCTGTTCTTCACTGGTGGTAGGTAGCCCCATTCGCTATCAAGGAGAAAGGGTTGTATGCTAATTTCCTTCCTAGTACTGTTCCTTGATAATATCCTCTTAGTTGTCGCACACTATACGAGCCGCCATCCACGCCACTCACATCACCGCGATGTCTCGTGGGGTAACAGATCTCTGGCCGGCGACAGCGATAACGAAACTGGTGGCCTCATATCAAAGTATCCTAGCCGCGCACCAAGCCCCGGTGGCATGCCCAAGAGCGCACCTCGTAGCAGAGGCCATACACCAGCGCCTTCTTTGAACAGAGTCCACACCGCGTATACGCTATACTCAGACTCGCCGCCCCAGCCACGCGACTTCGCTGCAGGCCCATCAAATGGCAAGACTAGGGTGCCGGGTCATAGTCCTGGTCCGGCTTTTGGGAGTGATGTTACTCTTCGAGACGAAGGGAACTACAATGGACAAGGCAAAGGCAGAGCTAACATGGGAGACTTTTCGTACGAGAACACGCCTACCAGTGCTTTGCCTGACGGTCAAGGACTGGGCATCGGCATTGCGGTCCATCGAGCTAGCACTCCAAGCCTCTACAGCGATGCCGACAAGAACGGTAATTTGAGCAGAAAACCAAGCAAGAGCAATTTGAAGGAGAAGGCCAGTTGGAAGAGCTTGGGTGTCATGAATGAACATGACTATGAGGGTAAAGGGTATGGTGATGCAGGATTGCAAGAACCCACACGCGCAAGGACGGTCAGTTTTGGGGATCATGGAAATCCTATTTGATCGCTTGCAGACACAGCATACGTTGCGCATTTTGGGCGGATGGCTTGAAGTTTTAGCGCGCATTCTGTCGGTGTTTTGTTTTGTGTTTTCAACATTCGGCTCCAGTGCCTAGATGCCTGGACCAATGCAGCCTGGACGGCTTCACGATTGTTTTTGAATAGAAAGCGTAGACAGGTGACCACCTTGAGATTCAACATTTTCATGCGATCGAGGCTTTCGGTCGTAAAGCTCGTAACTCTTCCCAAATCATTTCGTTTTGTCTCTTCCTAGTGTCACGAAGCTTTTCCAGCCTCGTTACCTATAAAAACTATCACATCACGTGCACTGATTCATCTCATTAGGTACTCACCTTCCTCTCTCATCGTAAATCCAATCTCCACATCTGATTTCCTGACCAGCCACAGGCACGCTTTCTGCCCGGGCACCAATCACAATTTTAGGTCAAAAGCTAGCGTCGCAAGGCTGCAGATGCGGGGCAACCCTTAATGCTTACTGCGCCCCTCTCTTCAGGCACCCAGTGCACCTACTTGCTGCGGCGCAGTGCGGATCAGGGCGCAGACTTCGTAAAACCCAGACTACGTCGTTGTAAGCATCATCATCACCATCCTACCTTTTTCTCACCTTCTTGTAACACGACACCTCAAGGCGGAACGGTCGTTGTTGTACGAGCACGTCTGGATACGAGTATCGTTGTTGCACTCAGCTCGGCCTACGAATTGTGATACCAATACTGGAAGAGCGGTAAAGCCTGTGCGAAGAGGAGCTTGGCAGGGTTCTTCGTACGTCGGGTTTACGAGGATACGGACGCGAGGAGCCGAGGTAGAACTGCGCAACGATTTTTCCAAACGTACAATCTCGACAAAACGATTTTACTAGCAACTGCAGAACTTCCAGGATAGCTAGCGATAAGGCAAAAGACGGGTTGCGCATTCCTGTAAAGTTTGGTGTGCTCGGGCACGCAGATCGCGGAGCTAGGGGGCTCGGAGAAGACGTCGTCTTAGTGCGTAAGACACGACGAGAGGAGGCGTAGACATTTGAGTTTCGTATCGAAACAGCCATCAAGTTGAACTCGCGGACAAGAAGAGAAGAAAGAGAGACGTGTTGCTTCGATTGCGTCACTGCGCTTCGTCAACACATCGGCAACCGAAGAAAGGGTAGCCCTCACCAAGGACAGCAACAACATCAATAACAAAACCAATAACGTGGATTTCCGGAGACAATATCGACCTACCTCATTGAAGTTCGTATAAGAGAGCCTCTTGTCGCTAGGAATTGGTATCGCCGCGTCGACATTTTTACCGCCTCCTTACCATTATTCTTCCTCGAGCATCATCACTACGCCTGCCAAACTTTAGCTATACCACCAAACCGACCGCCATGCTGCTAACAATGTCAACAACCCACCCGCGCACGGATGACTTCCTAAGTCTACTCTCACACTGGCATGTCCACAAGGCCGAATCAACATTTCTCAAGCGCTTCAGTATGCGGTGCCTGGAAGTCGTCGCGCTGGCGGTAGTTATGCTCTTTGTTCCACTTACGATGCATCACGTTGTCCAAGGCTTGGATGAAATCTACGACCTATTGGGTCGAAGAGCACGATCACCGTACGCGGTAGCCTCATGGACGAGCATCGCTCTAGCCGCCGTCATGCTACTAGGCTGGCATGTATGGCTTGGTCGATTGAGTTACAGAACGATTCTAGAAGCAGCATCGATACCGATGGAGGATGCAACCATTACACCTGCAGAAGGACAAGTATTCGAAGAGAGAAAGTCGCAACAGATACGGATTTCATGGGGTCGTGTACTGAGTCGTATCGTCATACCTTGTCTATTCCTAATATTGGGTTCGCACTTCATCCTCCAAATCATCACACGTATCAGGGATCCGAGACCACGTGTTACACTCAATACAGTCGACATGCAAGACGCTATAGGGCAGTTGTATGGGTTCCGATGATGCACCCCGTATGTCGAAGCAAGAACTCGGAGTGGCAAAGTTGCGGGTAGTGAAGATGAAGAAAGAAGCACGAAGTCCAGAATCGGGCCATACAAAGGACACATACGAATTGAAAGAAGGGTCTACTCGAACGACAACCCGGCGATTGAAGAACGATCGACACTACACAGGCAAGAGACCACGCGACGACGCGTTAAAGCGGTGGTCTTTACCCCAGAATTTCTTCGGCTCAACTCCGGTCCCGTCCGTCCCGTCCAGGGTCCCGCCTTCTCCGCACGATGACGTATTCGACGTTAACCTTTGATTCTCTCCTACGTCAGGCTTGACCTCTATATGCATGGCGTCCAATCTGCTGTGCGACAAGTAATATGGCTCGTTGGGCCTCCAGCCAACACCTTGGCAATGGTGCACTGGGTCAGTTCCGAGAACAACGGTAATCGGCCCGTCTCTTCATGGAGAAATGGCCAGAAGGACCGGCTAGGCATGCGCTCTAGCTGCCGTCTCTGGTGAGAGAGCGTAGACATTATTGGTAAACCTAGGCGAATGTGATATGTTCAGATAACAACGGGATATGTGGGTCGATGTCACGGAGTTATGTGACGTCCATTCGTGGAGACAAGACCGTGGGGCTTGCATTATACTTGTTGTCGAACAGGTGGAAGGTTTTGCCAAAACAGATTCATGTATACAAGTGCCGTTACCAATATGTATAGTATTAGGTGTGCAAACACTGAAGGTATTGTCACGTCCATTGACTCTCTTGTCTTCTGGATAAGTTGGTAAAGTAATGCCGGAAACGGCCTACTTCTAGCCTCGTGAAATCTGTTTCCTGAACGTGAAGAAACATGTTTGAACTGTACTTGCCTTCTGAACAAAGCGATTTTAGAGATCCTCTTGTCTTGCAAAGAGTCATCCGATGCCACCTAATTGCGATACCGTGTAAAGCCTCTCTACCAGAATACGATCAGATCCTTGATGCTAGAGACATTGCACCTACTAATAACACTACCGCTGTCACTGCTTCTGTCAACACATCTCCGAGAGTAGCATGACAGTACTGGTGAGTCTAGATAGTTGACGTACGTCAGATCACCCACGGAAACATTCCGAGCCGCAAGCGTACCATAAGCAGCCTGTGGTAGCGTACCGTGACTTCTTAGTGGTACCCATCCACAGTGTGGCAGTCTGGCTCGGACAGCGCCGTGTCAAAAATGTATACTGTACCATGGTTATGCACATATGGTGCGTCTCACGAAGATAACTACCATCGCTTATGCCAATTCGATATTGAGGTGTTTATCTGCCGAGTAAGGAGTAGGTAGTGCTGTGGTTTTACAGCAAAGATGCTTTCCGACGGGGAAGATGATACTGTTCGATCTAGTGGACAAGATGATTAGTAGGCTGGATCTGTATGTTACCCTTTTCTGCTAATTTGTCCAGTTCAATTTCGGTGTAGATACTGGGGCGTGAGTGTCCAAGCATTGTACGGCGGTTCCGCAGTCTTAGATGGAGCTTGGGCTTCAGCCATCTTCTCGCAAATACACCAATATGTTCAGCTCACGATGTGGACAATGCGGGGAAAGATGGAGCCGTCTTATCATCCTGGTCGACAAGCACATGCGTTATCAATTGCGGAGAAGGTCCTGCAAGGTACGGACATCTAGCCCAAACCACAAAGTGCAGCATAAATAGTGCGTTACCGACGATAGATAGAGGCTCCAATGCAAACGTGCGGAGCTATGGTGGACGTGGGATTATAGTGCGCCACGAGCGGGACCGGGATATTGGCGACAGGATCAATTGGCCGTTTCGGGACGTCAAGAGCGATCGTATATACTGCGCACCGACGCCTGTGAAACTGAAGATGGCCTGAAACGCTCTCTTTCCTTGGTAGAAGGTCCGAGATAAGTGCAGCGGTATTATAGCGTTGGTGGCACGGTCGCACATGCGTACACAAGCCACAAAGCGAGCGAATCGTTGACTCTCTGCCTCAAGAATTCCAGCCTCTCTGACGAGGTTATGGCAGGGGTTCGTGTAGTAGCACCGGAAGCCTAATGATAAGGCAAGTGAGACATCTCGCATGGCGCCCTACTAACAACAATGACCTGTAGGCTCGAGGCATCCAGAAACAGCCGGAGACTTTGGCCCAACACCGGAAGCAGGCGGCTGCATACAAGTGTGGGTGGATTGATACTTTTTGATAGTGGCGCACAAGGGGGCTGAGCGAGGCGAGTCGAGGCAGACATGGTCGTGGGCTGTGTCTGGTGGAAGTAGCAGTAGCGCAACAGTAGCAGTGAGTCGCGCGGAATGCATTGCCGAGCCTCCTACAAGTGCTCTCTGATGCCACGTTAGGGTTCGGGCGACTTCCCAAAAGCCAGGCGGATGGACCGCAGTCTACAGGTGTTTTGTCCCAATAAACGCACGTATACGAAATGTCGATCGTCGTTGAGGGGTGGTCTCAGCCGTGCCTTGGCAAGTCAAAAGCCGTCAGTGTGCTGAACCATACGACACTAGGCAAGCTGGTGCGTGACGGCAGATGCATCACTAGCGTTGCTACGAGCATGGTAGTATTGTCGCATAGGAGATCTCTTAAGACCGAGTCGCATTGGAATTGTCGTCTCAGTAGTGTCGCGTAGGCCATTAGAAAGGATGCTGCAATACATTTATCACAATCGAAAATCCATGGTACGTTGTCGCTTGGGTATCCTTTTTTTTGGCCTCGCTGTTTGTCGCATAGGCATAGCGGAGGTCGGGCATCATTCGCAAGCTGCCATATCTCGATGTTCGCAGAACGAATGGGTATAATATTTATGTAAGAGCGCAGCCAGTGTTCATAGGCTTCTGGCGATAGAAAATCTATCCAATGGGTTAGATCATGACAGAATATCTCTGCTATACAGGTTTCGCTGATTCGCTAAAAGCAGTTTAAACAGCACGCTTGTCCACGGGGACGTTACGCTTCAGTCCGATAAGTTGCAACATCTCAGTCCAGAAGCCGACAGGTGGTGTGATGAAGGAGGCCTCGTAGGCATCGATGAGAGGAGCATCCCAGACAAGGTCAACCTCGTGTGGCTTCAGCCACTTGGTCCTCTTAAAGAGTTTCCAGAAGATGAACAGGATCGGGGCAACGCCAACCATGGTGTAGTACGTGAAGAAAGACTCAAGGGTGAAGTTGCCGGGCTTGAAGGTGCTGTAACCATACACAAAGACAACGCAAATCTCGAAGCAGAGCGCAAACCAGGTACCATATGGCTGGAAGTAACCGCAGTAGGGAAGCGTCTTTCGGTCGAGGCCTTGAACTTTGCAAGCCTTGTAGAAAGCAAGGTAGGTGCCGCACATGACGATGTAGTTAATGACACCACCAGCAGTGATGATGTTGGTGAGCCAGGTCAGGACTTTGGCAGAGTCGTCCGACAATTGCAGGAAAGACAAGAACGGGAAGATCATGACTACACAGAAGCAGTAGATCGGAACACCGTTCTTGGTGCACTTGCGCAGGATCTTGGGGGCACGGCCTTCAATAGCAAGCGAGTACAGACTGCGAGTCGCGCAGTAAGTGTACGTGTTACCCGCAGAGAAGATACTCGTGATCAAGAGGGCGTTGACAAGGTGGGGAAGGCCGCCGATGTTGAGGTTCTTCATAGCAATGACGTAGGGAGAGGCAGCAGCACTGCTCTCACCAGCTGCCAATACGCTGACAAGCTCTGGGTCGTTGTATGCCAAAACGATACCGACGCAAAGAGCACCAAGGATGAAGAAGGCACCAAATCGGAAGTACACAGTCTTGAATGCGGTCTTGATGTACGCGCGAGGACGCTTAGCCTCACCGGAGACCATGGAGATGTACTCGGGACCAACGATACAGAAAGACGCAGCCCAAAGAGAACCTAGGAAGCCTTCAAAACGTCCAAGATCGCTGCTGCCGGGCATTGGGCCAGGGTCGCGCCAGTATCGGAAGCCATAGGCATCCTTCTGAGGGTTACCTCCAACCATGGTGACGAAGGTGAAGCAGTAGAGAATCAGGATCAGCATGACCTTGCCTCCAGAGAGCCAAAATTCTGCCTCACCGTATGCCTTTACAGCCAAGATGTTGCAAGCACTAGAAGTAATTAGTTTCTGTCCTCTATATATGTAGTACATCGCCCTCAAGGCTAATCGGTGGTTCTTACGCATATAGAACGATGACGGCCGCACAGACAGCAGCGACTGGTATGTCATCTCTCCAGAATCGCAGCACAATGTTGAGAGCTGTGATTTCGAAAGGAATCAGCAGAGCTTCGTAGAAGAAGAAGTTCCAGCCGGCCATGAAGCCTAGGGACTCATCGACCCAGTGTCCAGCCATTCGAATGAAACCTCCGGACACGGGCATGAAACTGGCCATTTCAGCCATGGCGTTGTTCACAAGAGCGATGATGCAAGAGTATCCAGTGTATGCGAGGAGTAAACCGAGGGGACCACCCTTGTTGAGAGCGCCTCCAATGGACACGAAGAGAGCAGTTCCAATAGAACCACCAATCGCAATGAGTTGGATTTGACGGTTACCAAGATGACGCTGCAAGTCGTCGGAGTTGTCGGTCACTTGGCCATGTTGGATATCGTCACCAGGATAAGTCTCGCGGACGAACTCTCCAGAATATTTCTTGTCCTCGGCCATGGTTGCAATGGGGATTGTCGCTTTAGGCAAAGGGCAAGTTGTCGCAAGGGAGTAATGTCGCGTATGGAAAGTCGCTTCAGGTATTGGGATTTGTCGCTCTGGAGTCGACGCTGGGGGGGAGGGATCGACTTTCAGTCGCGTGGGGGAGCAGCTAAAGCTACAACAAGATGAGTTGCACTGGATGCCAGTGAACAGAAGGAAGGCTACAACGTGGTAGAGGAAGTGAGGTTGCCCTTATCGAAACCAGGACCCTTGGGGTGAAAGGCAGGGTACTTATACGAGAGACAGGCGCGGCACACCCAGTCTGCCCTGCCTGTGGATCCTCTCGGTGGTGAGCGCTGCGATGCGACTACGACTCGAAAGCGGTTTGGTGGGACGCTAGGCGGACGGCAAAGACTAACTGATTGCGGCGTAGTAAATGCACCGCGGTTCTGGGCATGGGATTCGACGGCACAGAGTTTTCAACCCACCCCGGCTGTAGCGACCCCGCTCGTTTTGTGGCACGCGAATGGGGATGCGCCTTCCCTCGTTAGCGGCGTGGACGGCGCCACCCTACTGAGCCGGGGTGGGTGACAAGACAGGCTCAGCGAAGCAGCGCAAACGTCTTGTTTGCCCATGGGCAGACGCGCCTGGGTCAGGTTCTGGGGCGGGCGACCAGGGCCCAGGTCCTCCGCCATTTCAAGACAGTTAAGGGAACGTAATCCAGCGCGGCGGGCTTTGCTAAGTTGGCGGGCTTCCGGTGCTGGCGAGTGGCTGCATGAGAGGCGCGTGAAGGCAGCGCAGCCTCAGACGCGAGCAACAGCTAGCGAGCCATTTGTCACACCAGGCTCTTGGGAATCCGGGGTGTGGTACGATTGCTTCTGGCGTGGCGCTTTGCGGCTGATAGAGCCTCGCATCTTTTGTGAGAAAGAGGTCGTCTGATGCCGCCAGCTACATGTGTCTAGGGGAGCCGCATAACGAAGCCTCTGGACCGGGGCTCGGCTGATAGCAAGGAAAAACGCCACGGTGCTTGATTCGTGCCTTGCGCGCGTTGAGAGATTGGCATTGCGGGAGACCAAGCCTTGTACAAATGAGATGACGGCATCGCGCGTGAGAAGTACCGCCCTGAAGCCGGCATGCTGTACTACTATGTATGCGAACAGTATGTCCTATGGGTCGGTCCTTCTCCCTTCTGCCACGAAAATTCGATACGATTCAGAATTGATCGCCATCTCCTGAGATATGCTCCTGTATGGATAGTAATCGTTCAAAGCCCTTCGCGTCGCCTTGTGGTTGCGATTCGAAAAAACTGCCTGCATATCAGTTGCCCACGGGTGGCTTGGAAGATCCGCAGCAAGTGTAGTAGCGAATCCTAGGGGTTGATCTTGCGGAATGCTCATACTGCTCAACTCTGAAGGAATAGCGCTCAGCCTCTCACCTCAGCGTCCGGTTGTTATTTGCCTAAAGGCGCTGGGTCCTCGGCATCGCCCGATTGTAGGCTGAGCGGCAATCGCGTTCATTGTGTCTACACTGCAGCCCTAATTATTTGCCGTGTTGAAGGAGGGGGGCCTTTTTGGATGCGTTATCAGAGGGCAAGAGGTGAGGTGAAGAATGAAAGTCATGGTAGCAGCAAAGAAATCTTCCCTCCGATTCCGGCTCCGGCTCATCGTCGGTTCGTCGACACCTGCTTGCCCTCTGCCGATTTTCCAAGGACGAAGCGACGATACATGGCAGACGTTTGCAAGCAGCCACCGAGCAAAGAAGTGCAACTCATCGAGTCAACCAGGCGTCGCACAGCGCACAAGACGAAATCAATTACGTACGATTGTTCTTGGGGCGTATCTAGCAGCGTGAGCGTTGCTGTCACAGAGGCGACTCGCTAGGTGTTACTGTCGGAATCACATTGTTCTTCGTTCTTGATCTCAGGCGCGTTGTGGCGGATCAATCGATGATGGCTGCCGCTTGTACATTCCCTCTTCGCTAAGCCCTACGATGCTCAGATCTAGGTCACCATCGCCGCCCGCAGGCGTTTTAGCACAACACCATGGCAATGCTCACAGCTTTTCCGCGGCACCACTGCATTCTGGTCTCGACCGTCGTGCTGGTTGCTACTTGCACACAGGCAATATGGAAACTAGTCACGCTTCCACGTTAGCAATCTCTAATCGTAGTCAGCTCTTATCAGCTCCAGAATAGTGGAGTTCTCCGTTCATGGCCCACACTCCCTTGCTTCCGCTGTTCCGAGACACTTCTGGACGGACCCTGAATCCAAAGCAAGGGAGATCATATTCGCACGGCGGTCGCTGTTCGCTGCGGACAGCTTGCGATGCAGCCAATGCATGCCATTACGCTCACTCGGGCACATGCGATCTCTCTGGACATACATTTATTGGGGATTATACTGGCCCTCTCTTGTTCTTACCGCTGAGGGAACATGTCGTCATCAGCTGTATGAGCCAGGGTTTAAAACACATCTTGTAATCTTGACCACGCCCCCAACCACGATCTTGACTCTTTTTCCTTGTCTACAGAGTGCTGGTGGAAGACCTCTCAAACGACGAGTTGCCTCGCAATGCCATTATCCAGAGCCTGCGTTGTTGCTTAACAGGAGTTTCGTATCAACGCGCCCCACTCCTGTTGCCTGCCCCGCGCCACGACATCGTGCTTTCCGCATACAAGCGTTGTGTGTTAGCAACTCCTGTACTCAGCTCTCGGGCGCTTTCCGTCAGCCGTCTCAGCCTCACGGGCTCAGCCACCCAGGTCCTTCTTGCAGCCTGAACAAGTCGTGTCTTATTCTTTACGAGTACAAAAATCACGCGTGTCCTCATCGTCGTTATCCCCGCGCCCTCGTCTTGTGCCCGGCATCTCCTCGCTTCATCATCTTTGCAAATTCCTGTCCTCCAGCTGTGATACGTGCCCTCACGCGCCTCCTGGCATCCTCGTAACATATCCCACCTACAAAAAGGCTCCACGTCACAAAGGTCGCATCATCAAGACTGTTGTACGACCCATCTTGCATTGAAACACGGTGAGTATCTGAAGAGAACATTGCTCTAAATCCGTGCCATTACAAAAGCCTGTTCTTGTTCCTGCAATTTTCGTAAATCGCAAATACTAACACGTCTTTCAAACGCAAAGGACACAAAGCATCATGTGTCGTTGTAAGTTTCTCTGTCCAAATCGCACGTGAGACATGCACTGACTTCGTATACCTACACCAAGGGTTTGCATACATTTCTCCTACGGAACCATGTCTGCTGTCAGACGTCCTCATCACGCCAGACAACAGCATCAGCAAGCAATGCTCCGAGCACTATCTGCCGCATCTACTGCCCCATAATGAAGAGAAGGACCTGGATGACTCACCCGATGAGTTGATGAGGATGCGCAACTCTTTACTGAATATGGACGGTCTCGGAATTGCTTGTACGTGTCATGTCGTATCCCTGTACTATCATATGGCTTTCTTGATATGCAACATCATAATACACGTGTATTTGGTAGTCACAAAAATCAAGGCCAGGTACCTCCAGAAAGCCTGGAGTTTCAGAAAAGACAGCGCTACAAGAACACTTAGGTCCCGGAAATCTGCTAACACACCCAGGGTACACGACAGCGACCTCATCCTACGTTAAGAATGTCACAGGTCCTCGTCCCGCCCTCTACAAATCCCAATCGCCGCCGATCAACGACTTCAACTTCAAGTCTCTCTGCTACAACACCGAATCACAATGCGTCTTCGCACACATCCGCGCCACAAGCGGCTCCGTCGTAACGCAAGTGAACAGCCACCCCTTCGTCTTCGGTCGCCACGTCTTCATGCACAATGGCGTCATCTCAAACTTTTCCTCCATCCGCCGAGAAATGACGTCCCTCCTCTCCTTCGACGCATACTGCAACGTACTTGGTAGCACAGATTCTGAGCACGCTGCCGCTCTCTACATCACAAACCTTACAAACAGTGGAGGTAAAGAAAGCTGGGAGAAAGCATATCCCCTGAAGAAAATGCATGAAGCCATGCAAAAGACCGTCATTCAAATCCTCACACTCCAAAAGAACCTACTCGGTGAAGCTAACACACCAAATTCCTTGAATCTCTGTACCACTGATGGTACGAAGATGCTCGCTATCCGTTTTCGGAACCACATCTCGCAGCAGCCACCGAGTCTGTACTGGTCAGAGTTTGCGGGCCGCACCCTGAATACAAAGTACCCTGGCAACCCAGATAATAAGGATGGTGGGAGCGCGGATGCGGGCACAGAGATTGGGGAAGCAGGCATGATGGGTAAACATACCATTATCGCGTCTGAGCCCACAACATATGATGAGAAAGAATGGCACCTGATCAAGAGAAATTGCGCACTTATGGTGGACGAAGATGGCATCGAGCGTGAAGAGGAGCTTCAATATGACGAGGGTTTGAATGCGAGAGATCCAAAGTTTGATGACAGAATTGGGTCGAACAAATAGCAATAGCTACTGACGAATGTTTGGTCACATGCTTTGGGGAGATCCCTAGTGTTTCTAGTTCTGGTTCACCTATTTACGTCTGTGTAATGCTCTTGAGACTTGTGTGACCTCACTTCAGTGCGATTCTCACGTGTAGCGATTGGCGTGTTGCGGGCTTCCACTCTTACCAGTGCTAGTGCGACGAACCATGTCGATGCGAGATCATAGATATTGTGTTGTATTATTATTGGTAAACTTACAAGGGTATCCGAGTGCGCGCGTGTGAACAATGTCACTGGAGACTGAATCGCCACGGAGACACAGCTCCTGCTCATGTAGAGCCTTCAAAAATGTTAAATGCACACATACTCATCCCAATCATCACCGATATCCGCCATCCCACGGTATACCATCCGGCCGGAGTCCCATCGCCTCTTTCTGCTCCATCTGCTTCCTCAACTCGGCTTCTCGTCTCGCATCCTCCACGTACCGTATCCTTTCCCTTCTGGCCTTCTCTTTCAACTCTCCAAAAGGATCGAACCGCTCGCTCTCTGGATTTTTGAAGGGATTTTGCTGCCAACTTCCTCGATCCGTAAGCGTCGTACTTCTAGGTCGGTTGTTTAGTACATCGTACGCTTTGTTGAGGGGTGGATCAGCAAACGGATTTGGCGTTGGTGGTACACGGGTTGAGCGCTCGGTAGAAACGGTTTCGGGGCGGGAGTACGGGCCTGGACCGAATAGTGTATTGCTGCGGTCGGTGGATCGGGTCAAATGACCGTTTCCGCCAGCACCGTCGCCGCCATTGAGACGCGCGAAGATCGAGGATGCGGTGCCTACGTGTGCGGTCTCTGGAGGTGGGATGGAGGCGGGTGCGTAAGGATTGGAGGATTCAAATGATGGATCCGCATCGATATAACCGTGCTTACGTTTGCGGCGCTTGATGAAAATTACTCCAGCGACAAGCAGCGCTAATGCACCTACTCAATTATTAGCAATGGAATAGTAGCAACTAGAATGGTGGTGACGAACCAAGTACACCCAACACTATTGCTGCAATCATGGCGTCTTTTGTCATGATAGGCTCTTGTTCCCGTTGTGGAAGCCTTTGGGGGACACTACTCTCGCCGGAAAGTTCTGGCTCAGCTGTGTTCACAGGTGGCGGAGCTAGAGATACTGAAGCCATTGCCGAAGACAGCTTCGGAGGTTCTGTTGGTCTGACCTCCTTGATGATGGTTGATGTTATGGTAGGACGAACAGCAGTTGAGAGTGTGGACCCGGTAATCTGGGGTTGCGGTGCATCCTTTCCTGAAGATGGCCTGCCAAAGGTGAAGGAAGGCACAGCCGTAGCCGAACTTTTATTTTCCGATAAAGAGGTTGACATTGATATAGCGGCAGTTGAAGTAGCACTCGCAGTCGAAGTAGCACCCACAGTTAAAGTAGCACTCACGGTTGTAGTGGCATCCAGAGTTGCAGTAGATGCAGCTGTGGCACCGCTTTCAACTGGTGATGGTGGCTCGGCCTCGTCTTCGGATTCCGAATCCTCGCTCTCGGATATGTCACCGACTGTTGATGGGCTGCTGAATGGTGAATCTGGGCTCTCTGGGCCTTCTTCCTCTTCAGCTTCTGCAGCAGGCATCGTACTTGCAACAGGATCGACCTGACGAATGCGCTTTGGGAAGACCTTGACCGGGGACGGCCTTCGGAGTTGATAGCGTGCCATGATTGATGTAACAAAAGGTATTAGGTAGTAAATAAACTGAAATGCGCTCGCGCAAGTAACATCAACAAACTACAAGAGAGTAAAAAAATGTCCCCAGGACTAAGAACCGAAATGAATGTATCCGGTCGACGGAGGAACGAAAATAGAGCCTGAGTTCCTGAAGGAACGACAATCCACATCAATCAAGAGGTGGAAAAGAAAGTAAAGCAACGGAAGATGGAGACGCCAATGCTATCAATGTGGGATGACGGCTTGGGAGTTTGCCGTCAGGGTCACTAATCTCAGTCGCATAACGTCTCCAAAGCGCGAATCAGTGGGTCAGCTCGGAGCTGCCTCGATCCCCAGCGCTGTGCGGAGTATGCCAGTGAAACGGCTCATCTGCTATTGGGCTGTCGAGTGTGTCCTTGAAACTAAGGCTCACCAACAGCCACAGCACATAGTGTGCGATCGTCAAGAAAAGGCATGAAACTGTTGATTTGAGCGATGCTAAGACACGCTCGTGCCAGGAGTATTGCTTGTTCGAGTTCGTGGTTGGTTGCGGCGATTTTGTGAGACGTCTTGGCAGTTTGACCTGACGATGATGGATCGCGTTGTGCTTCAGCACCTCCACATGCGCGGCAGCGGCATATGGGTTGTTAGAGCCACACACCAGCCTTTTTGTGTAATCTGCGGGTTAAGGCGGTGGCTCTAAAGATTAAAGCCATGACGCGCCGCGTAGGTCCAGCCGGAGCCTGAACTATCTGAAGACGCGTACAGCGGAGTTCAGTCCTGCGGCAGGACCAGTCTAGATTGTTTGGCAAAAAAAGAGGGGCAGGAACCGTCGCATTTAGCATCTCAACGGTAGGTATGGAAATCGACTGTCGCGATGAACAGTTGAAGGGTCAGATTACAGAAAAGAAGGAAGCCAAAAGTGGAGCAAACCCCGGTCGATAAGCGAGATATTAGCATGACGCAGCCGCGGGCCACCGGCCTTCCGCATCAACGACGTCCGTCTCCTCAGGCAGCATTGCGAATCATCTACTGTCGCGTGCTCTCTTGCCCTCCGGCGCTGGAGTCAAGACCGATGTTATGTCATGATCTGGCTTAGGTATGGCGTCAGATGTCCACAGCAGAAAATCCCGCTCAGGCCATCACTAGTCATTGGCAATCACGAAACTTGAGTAACGAAGCCGAGCGGGTAATATTGCATATCGCACACATTCTATGTACGGTTCTATTCTTGGGTTCAGTTCAAACGAAAAGGAAGCACTCAGTCCTGTCAGCTCGACTGTCACATGGGTATCGCCCGGTCCATACTCTGGCCTAAGCACATCTCGTAGTATACACCCTTTTTAGCTAGCAAGTCCTGGTGTGTGCCGCTTTCCACAATCTTTCCCTTCGCAAAGACGATGATCATATCTGCGTCCTTGATTGTGCTGAGACGATGCGCTACCGCTATTGTTGTTCGGCCACTTTGCGCTTCTTCCAGCGCCGCCTGGACGACCCTCTCGGACTCGGTATCAAGCGCGGAAGTGGCTTCGTCGAGAAGAAGCAAACGCGGCTCGCGGACCAGCGCTCTAGCGATAGCGATGCGCTGACGCTGCCCGCCAGAAAGTTGTGTGCCTCTACTGCCACACATCGTTGCAAAACCGTTTGGCAAAGACGCAACAAAGTCTGAAATGTTGGATTGTTTGGCTGCGGCTTCAACCTGAGTGTCAGTCACATAGCCTTCGACACCCATGGCGATGTTATCCCGGACTGATCCCTGGTACAAAACCGGCTCTTGCTGAACTAAAGAGACACCTTGGCGGTACTTGCGCGGACAAAGACCCATCAATGGAACGCCATCGCAGGTGATGCGTCCTGTAACGGGATCGTAGAATCTCTCGAGAAGCGAGACTATCGTTGACTTTCCACAGCCCGAAGCGCCAACAAGGGCAATAAATTGACCTGGTTGTACATCAATATCGATACCTCCGAGGATCTTGGCGTGTGGCCGAGACTCGTAGGCAAAGTCAACGCCCTGCATCTCGACGTGTGCTGGACCCTTGTCCCTCTCGTCGTCGAACGGTGGTTTCGACGCGTCTTCTTGTACAGCAGGCTTCAATCTGCGCAGCCAAAAGATGTAATTTGCAGCAGTCGCCGACTTGGTCAGACTCGTGGTGTACGAGAAAAAGGCAGCAGCAGCCTCTCCCGAGAAAATAACACCAATGAAGACTGTGAAGAACTGGGTAGTCGTGTACTCTCCCGTGCTGATCAGTTGACCCCCGTACCAAAAACCAAGAGCCATTGCCAGGAACGAGATGGATTGTGTGAGTGCATACCAGAACATGGTCCACACTAGAGCTTTGATGCCGTCTCTTGCAACGCCGCGTAATCGATCTTCGTAGCGTGCGAGGATCTGCCTTTCGAGCGCGAGACTAGAAACTGTGCGGATGGCGGAGACTGCTTCAGCAGCGAGAGCAGCACTGCTGGCGAAACGTTTGCCGGTGAGATCCTCTAGCTTGAATTCAAGTCGAATCCTGAGGTACCCGGAGAACACGATCAAGGGTAAGGCTCCAAATACCACAACGAGACCTAGCTTCCAACCAACTACGATGGCAAGGATCGAGCTGGAAACGATGTTGACGACATTGATACAAATAAGCATCAAGTTAAAGCCCATCAAATCTCGCAAGCTATCGGGATAGGCCCCGAGCTTTGATGCTAAAGCGCCGCTCGCGTTATTCTGGTCATCGAAGAACGCCATATCCTGCTTGAGAACGAGGTCGAAAATTTCGCGTCTAAACTTTCTCGCGACAACCTGCGCTACGATGTTGCTGGTCCAGCCAACAACACTGTAGACGGCGAAGTTGCCAAGTGCCACAATAAAGAACATCAAGGAGTAGAAGTCACCTTGATCTACTGCTTCGTTTGAAGACAATTGAAAGGCTTCGACAACGCGAGAAAAGAGGATAGCCTGGGCAGGATACGTTGCTCCTGTCGCACTTTAGTAACAGGAAGGTCTAAGCGATGTGGTAACATACCTCCGACCAGGGTTGCAACAGCCAAGATAAAGAAACACTTCCAGAGATCACCTTGCTCCTTAAGCACTATGAAAGTACACTTCAGCAGGTTGTAGTTGATGTTGTCTTTTTCTGGCTTCTCCGCTTCTTGACCAACAGCCGATGCTCGAGTTTGTGTTCGGACTAGATCCACCTTTTCCGCAGTATGGTTTTCGCCTAGCTGCTCCTCGCTCTCTGTTTGCCCAAGATCTTGAGCCTTGACAAGACGGGCGTAGGCGCCATCTTCAGCGAGGAGCTCGTCGTGCGAACCTTGTTCAACCACAACTCCATGAGCCATGACTGCGATATTGTCGGCATTTCGGATAGTGGAAAGCTTATGAGCAATGACAATCGTAGTACGGCCTTGGGAGACCCGCTCAAGCGCTTGTTGTACGACCTTCTCTGCCTTTGGGTCGAGAGCACTAGTGGCTTCGTCTAGCAAGAGGACAGTCGGTTCTGAAACGATAGATCGTGCGATAGCTAAGCGCTGCTTTTGACCACCTGAGAGATTCATAGCGCGCTCGCCGAGTTGTGTATCGTAACCCTATCTAACGTTAAGGGTTTTTCTGTGAAAACGTAAGAAGCAACATAACAAACCTTGGGTAGTCGCTCAATAAACTCTTCAGCATAAGCATCCTTACAGGCCTTTTTTATGAGCGCTCGCTGCTCGCTTTCGGGCAGATTGGCCTTCTCGGTGCCGGACAATCCGAACGCAACATTCTCGTAGACAGTACCGGAGAACAGTACTGGCTCTTGCTGTACCAACCGAATGTTCGTACGCAGCCAAGTCAGGTTGAGCTCTCGGATATCCGTACCATCGAGATATATGGTGCCGCTAGCCTGGTCGTACCAACGTTCTATCAAGCCAATGACCGTGGATTTTCCGCTACCGGAGGCTCCTACCAGCGCTGTAGTCTTACCAGCAGGTACCAATAACGTCAAGTTCTTCAGAACTGTGATGTCGGGTCTAGCTGGATAGGAAAAACTGAGGCCGCGAATATCGACAACACCTTTACACGCATTTGGGGTTTTTCCATCATCGCTCAAGGGGTCAATCTCGGACTTCCGGTCGATGGTCTTGAACAGCTCGTCAGCTGATGAAGCCGCTTTCGTCAAAGCAATGATTTGAGGTGCGATGGTTGTCATAGCAGTTGCTGCGACGATGACAGCGAGAATGACGGTGAAAACGTCGCCTGTTGAGCAATCAGTATCGTATGCTATATAACTTGGCAGGTTCATCCATTCCAGCTCCGTCTCAGTCCCATCTGACGCATTACGTACCACTTTCTTTGACTTCACCACTGGCAAACATCCGAATGCCTTGCCAGAAGGCCAATCCATAGCCTGCGTAGATGCAAAAGAATTCGGTAGAGAACATAACGGCATAGTTCGGGCACTTCTTCATGCCCACTTCTTGAGCATCGCCAAGAAGCTTGTCGTACTTGCAGGACAGCAATGGATGAAGCCAGAACGCATGAACTGTTCGCACTGTCGAGAAGACTTCTTCCGCAAGTTGTCCAGCTTTGGAGTAGATTGGTAGCAGTTGATTCTCGTTCTTGGTGTCAATACCTATGGAGATACCAACCACGACAATGATTGTTGGAACAATACTTATCGTTATCAGAGTAAGCTTCCATTGTACGACAAAGGCGATGACGAATGCAGATACGAAGGTCGATACACCTTGAATGATTAATGTTAGCTTCTCTGATATGCCATTGTTAACGTTGTTTCCGTTTGTCGTAGCCTGAGTGGTGACCGAGGCTGCTTCATCTGAGTCGAAATACGCAACGTTCTGCCGAAGAATGTGTCGTATGAAGTCCAGTCTTAGCGCCTTAGTGGTCCGTATTGCCGCGATCGAGATGAAGGCCTTGAAATATAAGCATACGTTTCAGCGATACGAATAGTTTGCCACCTACCGAGTGTATGTAGACCAGCACAAACTTTGCAATGAAGAGATACACAAAGTACAGACTATACTTGTCCACCTCTGAGCGGTATTGTGCTGGAGTGATCGAGCCCGTCGCAAATCCAGTAAATGTTGACACGAATTTCCCAAAGACCAGGTCCCTGTAAAATGAGAAGAACAGGTCAGTGTATGTTTGTCAAGTGACCGAGGCTAAGCGCTGTAAGATTTTACTGCCCTTTATCTCCCTATATGACAAACATAGATGGCGTGCACGTATAACTTACATCAGTGGAAGTAAGGTTCCAGCGGCAATTGCTGCGATAAACGCAATGATGTTGAGCGCCCAACTGGTGCGATCTGCATATTTGAAGATGCGCTGAGAACGTTATTTTCGGCGTTTCTCAATTTCTGCCTAGCATGCTTACCACATAGCCGCCCATACCTCCCTTTGGCTCCTCAACCGCGCCATCGCTCTTGTCTGTTGGTGTTGTACTTCTCTTGACGTCATCGCTTGTGCTCTGCCCAGGCGTATCAAGCAAATCCTTATCTGGTGACATATTCGATGTGAATGTTACATGCGGCGGGTAGGTAGACGGCAGTGCTCTACCCCGATATCTAAAGCCATCTCAATGAAGTTGAGCATTGCGTCCGGACTTTGCAAAGCCCGGACCCGCGGTGAACAGGCGTTCTGAAAAGGGCGTCGCAAGCAGCTGGATATTTCCTTTTTGGATGGGTATACGAGCAATGCGAGCCAATCGGCGAATTTTTGAAATCTTCGGCCTAGTCACGGGGTTGCGCGTTCTTCGCATCTCTGCTAGTGAAACCTGGTGGCAGCGTTTGGCTTCACAGCATTATAATTTTGACTCACTCGAGCAGGCTCTGTTTCGCGATATTAGGCTGCTGCCTATGCTGGCGTGATTCTGGCTGTGAGTAATGACATCGTTGATAATTCGCAAAGCCGCGGATCCCGAAAAGTCCGTCCTCCGCACACACCCACATTACAATCCAGTCTGGCACTTCACGCGTAGAACAACCGCGGCACCGATTGCGTAACCGTCACCATGGAAGACGACGACATGGATGGATCGCTTGATGGAGCTATGTCCAAGCGTGCGGTAAGTCGCATAAGAAATACCAAGGGCGGCATACACGTTGACGATCCACATCTAGTGCGATAGTTGCCGAACGCGCAAGATACGTTGCGATAGAGGCCTGCCATGTTCTAACTGCAAGGCGAGTAAATTGGGTATGTTCTACTTGGCATGTTCCGGGGACCGCTGCTGATTCGTGCAGCTTGCAAGACAACTCCTCCCCAGCAGAAGGCGCAGCGACAAAGGGTCCACATCTCTGAAGAATAGTACGTATAAATTGCTTGTGGCGTAGTCGTCATCGTTTGTGGCGCCAGTCGTACCCACAATGCTACCGATTTTCTGGGTAAACGTGCGTTCGCATGGGCTTAAACGACTTCGCGGCGCTCTCAGGTCGCGTACTGCGGGATGTCAAGTCCGCTGCGGCCAATCAACCGAGTTGTCCGGATCTGGTGTCGAGTGATCTGATCAGGACTGACTCCGCTTAGTGAGAAGAAGATTGATCGAATTGAAGACCGTTTAGCAGGTATCGAGAATGTTCTTGCTAGTCTTGCAACGGTAAAGACTCCCATGTACGAACAACACGTGAAGCATACACTGACTTCGTACGTTAACATTCTAGAAGCTTGGCAGTATAGACCTCCAAAAAGACTCGCATGATACCAGCAGCCAGTCGCGGTCGAGTAGGGTTGGTCCTTCCAGAAGTCCAGGAAGTGGTCTCGTCGATGCCCATACACCCGCGCCATTCGAGGGCGAGAGCTCCATCAACAGCCAGTCTGATTATGCTCGAGCGATGTTGGCCCAAGCTATTGGGAGCACACCCTCTATCGGTCAAAACGAAGAAGTCAAGATGGCGCTTACTGCTCTCGCGGAGATGGTTTCCCAGCAGGGCCAAAACAACGCGTCTTCCAACCACCTGATCAACAACTCTCTTGCCGACATTGACCCTGCAAATCTAGAGCGCCCACCGTGGGATACAGCGTGCTACGCCTTGGAAAAGGCTAGTGGTAAGACGCCACATATTGTACATCTCATTCAGAGCTGATGCAATCAGAATATCCAACTATGGCATTTGCGGTGGTGTTTCCATTCTTGCGGATGGCTAATCTTAAAGATATCTTCTACGAAGCGTATCATAACCCAGAAACTTGTAGCGCCGCTCGACGCGTGCTCACTTTTGGCGTTCTGGAGAATGTCTTCAACGAATTTCGGGTCTTTCCACTAGTCAATATGGACACCACTAACTACTACACATACGCCACCATATGCAGGAGGCAGACAGAAGTGGCCCTATCGCAGTTGGCTATATGCTTGCCAGCAAGCTATGAGAACATCATGGCCTTGGTACTTGGTGCAGCACAAGCGGTTGAGAAGTGCAGACCCTCTCTCTGTTGGACGATGATATCGAGTGCAGCAGGCTTGTGTCAAAGCCTAGGTTACCACCGTATCAACACAATGGTGAACGACAACCCGGAAGACCGTCAAACGAAGATCCAAATCTTTTGGATGATATACATGCTCGACAAAACTCTTTCTTTACGCTTGGGTCGCTCAAGCATCCTCCAGGATTGGGACATATCTCTGCCGTTCGTTGTGTCGAGTAATCCCGACGACAAGAATCCCGAATCAAGCGACATGCTCTCGTACTGGATTAAGGTCGCGCGAGTACAGGGTTTGACCTACGAGAAATTGTTCTGCCCTGCTGCCTTTTTGAAATCTACCGAAGAGCGCACGCGCATTGCCATTGAGCTTGTTAATGCTCTCAACCAAGCCTGGTACGAACGAGGAGATGCTTCACTTGTGGATTTCAGTCAGCCGGGCCATGCATTTAGCATTGGTTCAGAGCGACCGAGCATGATAGGTCACACCCCGAATGAGACACCGCTCCCGTCTCAATACAAACGCTATGTACACAAGTCACCTAACATGGGGCGTGACCCAGGTGTCAGCGAGTACATTCAAGGCAAGCTCCTCCATTCCCCTTATCAAAACCAACTGACTGATCTGGGAAAAGGTTCTTTTGAGCGTGTTCAAGACATCTTTTTCTACTCTGATGTTGTGATGCACTATTCAACCGTCGCACTGATCCAGAGAGCGGTGAGTCCAAGCAACATGTCATTCAATCAGGAATGTCTCGAGTCTTCACGAGCGGCTCTTGTAGCGCATATGAGAGCAAGTGCGCAGTTCAACAAGAAGGGCCAAGAAGATCTATGGTCGGGATATGTGCACTGGTCGGTTCTTCAGGCGCCCTTCACGCCGTAAGTTGCCCCAGCAATCTGCACACTGCTCAGCTAATTCAAAACAATAGCTTCATCGTATTATTTTGCAATGCTATCCAGAAGGCAGACACATCCGACGTTGATTCTGATATACACTCCCTCTCAGAATTTGTCACCAGCCTCGAATCTTGTCGCACAATTTCTGAAGGTGCGGATAAGCTTTATAAGATGTGCCATCTTTTCCTGCGAGTTACCAAGCTTTATGTAGCGGCTAAAAGACAAGATGCCGCTTCACGAGTGCGGGGAATTTCACAGAACAAGCATTCTGGATACTATACAACTGTGGATGGCACACAACTTGATCTTAGTACTATGTCTCAGTTCGATCCTTATCTCAGCGCGCTCGGTCTAATGCCTGACACCGCATGGCCCACGACTACATACTCCACCACTCCTGCTTCAGCGAACATGAATCCTTTCGGAGAAGCTCAGGCAATTCACAACGCGAACGAATCTGGTGTCGGCTTAGGAACATCACAAGGAAATCAAAATCCTATGCAGGATTGGTTTTCGGGATCACGCTATCTATTGAATATGATGGAACCGGGCGACGATTTGCAAATGCCAGATCTCGACATGTGATAGACAAGGGCATAAATATAAGCTTCACTCTTGGCGTTCGGAAAATGATAGATATCACTAGCTGTACATTTGCTTGTCATTGGAATATACCCTACTCTTGGCATTATTAGATGCCCTACTCTAGCTGCCCTATTATCATCATCCTCTACTGGAACACTTTGACTACCCAGCACTCTCTTGTATCACGTCAAACATCGGTACATAGCACATTGGAACGACAATAGCCTCTATCTCACAGTTTTATAAAGCGTGCCAGGATATAAAATGTAAGCCCTGAGTAGTTTCACATCCACCAGCGTTGCTGCGCCCTACGATCTTGAAATCTGCCCAAGCAGTCGAAAAAGCACAGCGTGATGATGCAGTGCGTGACCAAAATCAATGAGTGGAGCCCAACGCATGGTTCGTGTTGCGAAACTGAATCGGCTCGTTTCATGCGCGGACGAGAAACTCGAATCGATTGCATGGAAGAAACGATTGAAGAAGAAAAAATCGAACATATTGTAGTTTGCGAGAAGAAAGATGCCAGGGAGGCCTCTTCCGTTTGTTCAGTGGAACTATATCGCGAATATCATTACACTATATACATCGCGACCCGGACTATGTACGACGACAAGATCACACATCGAGATCAGGCATCGCGTTATCATTAGCCCAATCTTTGATCTTCTCAAAGTTTCTGCACACATGGTTGCTCTCGTAGTCAGGCCAATATCCCTTCTTACCCTCTTGCGGGTGGAAGGTGAAGACGTTAACGTCCGAGAGGCACATGAGGTTCATACGAAGGATCTCGATACAATGATCTAGATTCAATACTTAGTCGTGATCGGGAGTGAATGAGTTCGAACGCGAGCTTACCGAGGTGCGCCCTGACCTTTTCAGGCTTGTCGTTTGTGTCGCTCCACCAGAGTTTGGGGTAGTAATCTGGGTACGTAGACATGCGGAGCAGGTTGAGGCAGTGAAGTTGGTGGAAGACTTCCAGGCCAACCCGGTATCCTGTTTCGCCTGTTTTCGGGTCTACGACTTGAAGGGCATCGGCGGGCTTTTGCAGCTTAGGGAAGTCTTCCATGGAAACCATTTGATCCGGAACTACGTATTGTTAGTGACGGAATCTTGGGTGAGTATAGTATGGGTGTCTAAGGAAGAGAAGCAGTAACTTACGGTATGCGATATCCATCCATGCATTCTCTACATCGTCGGTAATGCCAACGTACTTGGAGGAGTTCAATGGGTTCGCTAACTCGAACTTTGTTTGACTGTACTCGACAACATGCTTCGCAGGTGCTAGACTGTGTTAGCTAACGATGCTGAGTGATCGAGACCTGTGAACATACAAAAGACGTCGAACTGATCCATCAACTTCGCTGCTGAATAACCTGAGAAGTCTTTTTGCGACATGACCGAACAGATCAATGATAGCATTGATAGTGTGAAGAGGAAGAGGTTGAAGAGTGTAAGATAGATATAGCTCTTCCTTCTTTGCCTGTCGTCTCTCTGGTATTGTGTGGTGATAAAGGCGGTGTTTTCGGAGTCGCCTTGCGAAGAGCTGGAATCGGTGTACTTCTCCATCGTCTCTTACAGCGGGAGCTATACAATAGATGTGATGTAAAATCTCTCTTTACGACGTTGGAAGAAGAATTATTAGTCGACCCGCGATGTAGAATAGAATGACGACCGCTCAACGTTCGAGTAAGATGAAAGAAAACAACAATGGACAAAAGCGTAGTGAGTAAGTGAGAATCGATAGCCTGAGGAATGAAGAATAGTCTTGCAACACCATCCTCCGATACGTTTTGGGTATCGCCAGAGGCAGGTTACCGAAACACGGAACATCTCAAACGATGCCGCCATGCCGTGCATGTCGCTCCCTGTAAGGCATCTCTTTCCGGTGACGCCAGGCAACAATAGCCTTGTGCACCCGTCTGCGACAAGGCTTTAAGGCAACAAGCTTTTACCAAGCCTTCTGAGACGCAGGAAGTGGGGACGTCTCAGCTTTCCCGTTGGTTCAGCCGCTGCTTGGGTTTCGAAGCGGACACTTAGCCAAGACTGGATGTTCATACTTCGGCACCATCGTTTCAGCTTGGCGCGCCAGCCAAAACGGGGTTCCTTTACTGACATGACACGCACATGGAACAAACGTCCCAGCTGCATGACAACAGAACAACGGAAATAACGTCAATGAATTGCCTGTCTTAGAGGCGAACCGCGGCTTCGAGGCGCTAGTTCCATGGGTAAACTCGTCGGTTACAGTCCATCCAATGAGATGCGAGCCCCAGAACCGCCATCATCATCGAGTCAAAGCAAGCTATACAGATCGCATTGCCAATAGCCAGAAGAATCATCGGTAAAATGTCGCAGAACCTGAGGCTAGACGCAGTTGCGTGGCGGCTCGGTTTGGACACGACCGCATTCTTCAAACACTGACAGGCCTGGTCCACTGCTGGCGGTGTCGTTGGTGGAGACGGAAGCCCGTCAAGACCTTCCGTGTTTGGCTTCCCGTACAAACGCCTTCCACTGCTGTCACATCGCGGTAGACTCGATTACCTACTGGGGTGTCAACTCCGCTTCTGTGCCGTGAGCAATGCAACATGTCTCAGGAGCTGGAGGAGAGAGCAAGCGTGTATCCGCTGTGCTTCCCAGGAGCATACTCCAGTTATAAAGCATCTCCAAGTTCCAGAAGAAAAGGCATCAAGCGTTGAACGTGCTCATTCCTTCTCACAACCTGCTCAGGCCTGTTTCATCTATTCTTCTCTGCTGGCAGATCCATTCTTTCATCCAATTCAAGACTCATCTAAACTTTCTTCATAATGAGATTTACCGCACTTACTCTTTTGGCCCTGGGTGCCTCAACCTCAGCCTACGTTGTGCCAAACAACAAGCAAGCCGTCGATAATGCCGTCAAAGCACGGATGCCAGTGAGTTGGCTGGTATTACTTTAGATGATTTATACTTACGATCTTTCAGGGAAGCGGACCTGTGCACGCATCCAATCTCGTAGCTGCACTCGCAGATCGTGGAGTTGAAGCTCGCCACCATAAGGGTAAAGGCGGAGCGGGCGCCGCTGGTGGTGCTGGAGGCGCTGGTGGTCTAGCCAAGCTCTTCGGCCGTGATGCTCAGGAGTTGACCCAAGAAGAGGACGACGCTCATTGGGCTGATCTTCACACTCGCTCTCCTCACCACAAGGGCAAGGGAAACAATGCCGCTGGAGCTGGTGGCCGCGGCAGACTGTCTGGACGTGAACCTGAAGCACACCACAAGGGCAAGGGAAATAACGCCGCTGGAGCTGGTGGCCGCGGCAGACTGTCCGGCCGCGACGCTCAAGAGTTGACCCAAGAGGAAGATAACGCTCATTGGGCTGATCTTCACACTCGTTCTCCCCACCACAAGGGCAAGGGAGGAAACGCCGCTGGAGCTGGTGGCCGCGGCAGACTGTCTGGACGTGAACCTGAAGCACACCACAAGGGCAAGGGAAATAACGCCGCTGGAGCTGGTGGCCGCGGCAGACTGTCCGGCCGCGACGCTCAAGAGTTGACCCAAGAGGAAGATGACGCTCATTGGGCTGATCTTCACACTCGTTCTCCCCACCACAAGGGCAAGGGAGGAAACGCCGCTGGAGCTGGTGGCCGCGGCAGACTATCTGGACGTGAGCCTGAAGCACACCACAAGGGCAAGGGAGGCAATGCTGCTGGTGCCGGAGGAGCTGGAGGCTTGGCCAAGTTGTTCGGACGTGATCCCGAAGCGCACCACAAGGGCAAGGGCGGAAATGCTGCTGGTGCTGGCGGTGCCGGCGGACTCGCTAAACTGTTCGGACGTGACCCAGAGGCACACCACAAAGGCAAGGGAGGCAACGCTGCCGGTGCTGGTGGACGTGGCAGGCTATCCGGCCGTAACCCCGAGGAGTTGACCCAAGCCGAAGACGATGCCCACTGGGCCGACCTTCACACTGGCGACAACTAAACGTCAGCAAGCTCTGGCAGGATCATGAACAGTGTTGGAGAAAGAAGAGTTTGTGCAGCGGATGGACTGGACGATTCCCTTGGTACATGTTTTGGCTTTCGTTGACGTGTTCCTTTGTTGATGCGGAGGACCTGTAATGTAGATATAGATGACGAAAAACTGATCAATGATCAAGATCAAATCTCTGCCTGTTTGTATTAATAGTGTGAGTGATGTGCTCTCCTAATCTTGGATGTTCGTGGAGGCATTCGATGGCTTCAAGAACTTCATTATTTTGTACCAGTGCATCAGTTGTATCTGGCTCTTCGCACTATGACATCGTGGAAAAAGTAGTGAACAGTTTGAGGTATGAATCGACTCGACCGGTACGGTATAGTTCTAGATACTAGAGGGTACTCCAGTTGATCGCATAGCTCGAGTTCTTTCAGTGCATGTATTTGATTTATGACTCTACAGTCGTCCAAGAGCTTCTGTTCCCAACGTTCCGATCGGTCGTCAAGGAGCATTTCCACCCTCTTCGACTGATTTGGTCTGACGATATGTAGGTTGATCAAGGCACAAGCGTTGATCTAGAGATTGCCTTGTATATCCTTAAAATCTGGTACGTTGCCTCTCACAAGCATTTTCCTGTCAGCAGTTAGTGATGTGGAAGAAGTTCGCATGCATGGGTCACAAAGTAGAGTACTTACCGGATGTCAACCACGTTAGAAGCTTTCTCAAGATAAGATGTGAGTATGTCGTCGGTGATGGTCGCTTGCCAGAAGTCCAGGCATTGTTCCCAATTTCGCAGGCCGAGCGGGATCATTTTCGCTTGGTTGCAACCCTGTCGTGTGTGTAAGGTGGCGAGGTCAATAGCGCATCGTGGAGGGTTGTCTTTCATTGTCTTAAAGAACTCGGCCTTTCGGGCCAGGCGTTCACTCTCAAGACCCTTGGCAGCTGGGAGCGCGTCGACTGTTCGTCGGTACTCCGACTCGTACGTTGTCTTCCAGAGCCGTTCCCCCGATGCTATTGCATCGAGGAAGGCCTGGCGATCCGCCGTGCGGGTGTTGGTCTCTGCCTGTGTCTCGTTCGGTGGTTGAAGCTCCCTCGCCCTTGCTTCGATACTGAAATTGGTTTGCTGGACAAGGAAGTCTTCTGTACACACCTTGCCGGGGATATATTGCTGGATGAACGACTTTGGACCGTACTTTTCGGTCTGGACTGTCTCCCTTGCCGTACGGAACATGCTGGTGGCCCTGGTTTGATCAACCGGATTTGGGTGTATCCCGACAACAATGGGCGACATGTTCTGGGGTGCTAAGGTTGGTTTGTTGAACGAGGAAGTCTTCACTGCTCACTTTGCCGGGGACAAACTGCTGAATGAACGAATTCGGACCGTACCTCTCAGTCTGAACCGTCTCTCTTGCCGTGCGGAACACCGCAGCAGCCTTATCTTGATTATTCTTGTCTGCGTGCATACCGACAACAACCGTATGCTTGCTCTGAGGTACTACACCGTGATAGGCGGCGAGAACCCTGCAAATTTTCGTGGCCTCTGTTGAGTTGGGCACGACTGCCGGTCCATTGACCGACAGGCCACTGGTGTTCATGCCCACGGTGACTGTGGTAATTATGAGGTTAGCACTGGCAAGATTCACATCCTCTTGAGTTAATCTTACCTAGTCGTTCTTGTATTGGCAGCTCAGAGTAGAGCGATGATGGAGGGATCTCACACGCCAACTCTGGAAGGCATTTGATCTGGATGTTTGCCATAACGATGTTGATTTGGGCTTTGGTGGGTTGGTAGATGTTGAGGTAAGAAGTTGGGAGGTTATTAGATAGCGAAGTCAATATATGCCACGGGCTGCTACTGACCACCTTCACCTGAAGCCGAGAGCGGACAGGCTGGTGTTCGTGTCGCTGTGGCCCCACTTGCGTCTCTCACCTTGAAGGCAGCAGGATCTATTTCCTGTTTGTCTATGATATCGATTGCGCGCCAGATTCGTACTTGCTAAGGTTGTGTCATGAGACTTGATACAAGCCGTGCTAAGTTCGTTCCAATGGCACATCGTCGCAGCAGATGCCGAGGGCGTGCCGCAGCCAGAAAGTAAGGCCATGATTGCTGGTAGACAACTGGCACGAGTACGCAATCCACGCTACCTAAGTATGACAAGAACTCAAGGATCTCACTGAGCAGCACCAAACGAAGGGTACCGGTCACCAAAAGTGTCATGAGGAAGGTTGATTTCCGCGTATAGCAAAGATTGTCTATACAGGTCTATCCTACAGACACAAGACTGCCTATCTCGTCGACATCAGTCGTGCTAGCTATGCAATTCAACACGTTCAAGCTGCAACCGACTGCAGACAATGTAGCGACTATTCAAGGTTCTTCTTCAAGAACGCACACCGGAAAACACCGTCTAACCAGCGTGTTCTACAATCTCGCTAACAAGCTTGCCGTCCTTGATATAGCTCCTGATCTGCTCAGGCAACGGGTTCTCGGCGTAGTCGTCTTCTGTAGGCAGATTGATGTTTATGCTACTGCACTTGCTTGTGAAAACTTCAGTTGCTAGCGAATCCTTGGAGAGGTATACGGTAGCGCCGTCAACTTGGTCGAGTAGGATGGTGGGGAGAGTGCCGAGAACTTGTAACGCAAAGTTGGGGCACTTGATCACGTCCACGGAGCTCACCAGTGAGTCGATGATGAGCGATGTACGGGAGGAGTTATCAAGCGAAAGCGCATTTGCCTTGCCATTGATGCGAATGGTTGTGTTCTTGCAGCGGGAGATGAGGATGGAGTGGTTGATTTCGGCGTCGATCTCGATTGTCTCGGATGGTGAGTCGAAGTTGTCCTGGGCACGAGTTAGCGATAAGTCTTACTACACATCATCTGAGCTACACATACTATTATCCATTTGTTTCCGTCCAGTTCCTTCTTCGGTGGTTTCTTCGTCCGCATACTCTCTGGCTTCTTAGCCTTGGGCGGCGCAGGACTCTTACTCCTTAGGCTGCCGGTGCTATCGCTTCGCGTGGGGACTGTGGCATTCGCTCGCAACGACGGGTTCTTATGTGTCATTTGGCTTGGGTCTACCTTCTTGAGCCCCTTTGTGACGTCTGAGCCCTTGTTGAGATCGCCAAAGACGGCATTCATATCGGGCGCGGCCTTCTTAGCAACAGGCGCGGCACCTGGTGGCGGTGGAGGGCCTGGCGGTGGCGGGGGACCGGGTGGTGGTGGGACACCTCCTGCTGGAGGAGCTGGTGGAGGAGGAACGCTCGACACGCCTGAGAGGGGTGCAGAGGAGATCTCCTTTGCAGCGTCTTTGGCGTCGATTCCGTTGCTGTTCCAGGCTACGCCTGTAGCATGGTGTTTCTTTGCGTACTCGGCGAGAGCTTTGAACAGCTTGTAGTAAGCCTGAACCCACTTGACGTGCGCGTCACCGTCGGGCCTGGATCTGTCAGCACTGCCTCAAGTAGGGAGGGTGGATAACCATACTTGTCGCGGTACTCCTTAAGGACCTTGTTGCCGTACATCTGAGCTCCACCAAACAGCTCGTTGATGTGCTCGTGAGGCTTCATACCTCCGCCCTGGCCAATTGTAACCCATCCAAGGGAGCCAACACCATCGGCAACCATGGAGACGGAGTCTTTGAGCGCGGGGTCTCGGTTGCTCTGTCGAAACTCGTCTGTCTTCTCCATGCTCGCCTGGAGATCCTTGAGAAGCTCCATCAGGGTGCGGTCGTCAGGCTTCTTAGCCTTGTTCGCAATAAAGAGGAATTGGCGCTGAGCGGCGAAGGCTCCCTCGACTGCTTTTGACTGGCCTTCGATGACGCTTCCCAGCTTTCCGCTCAGGTCTAGCCAGTTCTTCAAGTCTGAGTTGACCAGCTCATCGAAAGCTTCAATTGCGGGCGGTGCGCTTTCCGCGACGAGTTTTGGGGTGTTGGCGCTCGTGTTTGCCGCTGTGACGCCTGGGGTAGCATCAGCGGAGGCTCCATTGAGGCTTGCGGCTCCATCTCCGTTGTTGGGCAGAGCGGTGCTAGCGATGTCTTCGAGGCGCGAGGTAGCAGCTTCGAGTCTACGGACCATAGACGTTAGTACATTATCCGTTGTGACGCGGATCTGGCCATGTCGACCGAGGATGTGTGCTTGTTCGGGCTCGGGGGCCATCGTGGGGCGCTCTTGCAGAGTAGCGGGATGCGCAGAGTGTTATAGGGTGATAGGTTTGGGTGCCGGTCGGTCGTGATTACAAAGGAAAGACACTTACCGCTTGATCAGCGTCGTGAGGTTATTCATGTTGTTCGCCATGTGGAGAAGGCGCGTCTCAGCGTTTGTAGGGAAGGCACCTGTATGCGGACAGGTATCTTGAATGCTCGGGGAAGGGGCAGCCGCGGCACGCTGCAGGTTGTTCGGCGCCTCTGATTCGTACCGTGGAGAGGGAAGGCTACAAGCAGACAACCAAAATTCGCCCTGTCTAGATTATGAACACAGCAGGATATCTTTCGGTTTAAAAAGCACAATGGCAGGCAGAACTTCAAAGGGTCAGCTCTCCAGACGCATGGCCACGGCTGCCCACATGGCGCTAGCCGTCTGCAGCCAAGCCTGGTCCGTTCGAGACATGCACGTCAGCGGCATGCTATCAACCTTGCGATCTACACACGGCAATGTGCAAGCATCCAACATGGCTAATCAACATGCTGAAAACCATGACAAGATTGATTTCTGCACGCTGGGAATGTTCATCATAGGTAGGCATGCAATAATTTTCAACGCGTTCAAGCCGCTGAAACCACCAAGATGAGATCGAATTTCCCCCGCCAAAGCCTACAGTCAAGGACATTGTCGGAGGAGCAGGGTCGTACTCGGCCTTGGGCGCGCGTATCTTCTCCCCACCACCACAGTCGCAATCCGTGGGCTGGATTGTAGATTGCGGATCTGATTTTCCGCCTGAGTTGCGCGATCAAGTCGCGCAATGGAGAACTGGTGTGCTAGTACGCGAAACGCCTGAACGGTTGACTACGCGAGGCTGGAATGGTTACACTGGCGAAAATGAGCATCGAGGTAAATGCCCATGTGTCGCCTATGAGTAATTCAAAGTCTGATTAATCTCATGAAGCATTTCGATACTTGACGCCGAAGCTGCGCGTAGACCACGAGAGTCTAATTGGTACCAATCTACTATGGTCCAAGTCATTTCATCTGATCTGTTCACCGTTACGCTGCATCGATCTGATCGAGAACATCATTGCACTACGCAAACAAGGTTCCAGTTCGACTAGTTTTCGGCGGCCCCTGTTTATCTGGGAGCCTGTTCCTGATTTATGCACACCCGCAGAGTACGAGAATTGCCTACAGGCGCTCAAGTATGTTGATGTGGTCAGTCCAAACCACGGAGAGCTTGGCGGCTTCTTCGGCAGGAACACGGACGGAAAGGAGTTTGTGGAATTCCGAACAATTGAGAAGCTGTGTAGTCAGTGGCTGGACAGTGGAGTTGGTGACGGCAATGGCGGGGTTGTCATACGTTGTGGGAAAGATGGCTGCCTGGTAATGCGCAGAGGGCTGCGTAAATGGATGCCTGCATACCATCAGTCAGCAGAAAAAGTAGCCGATCCGACCGGAGGAGGCAACAGTTTTCTGGGAGGTCTGGCGGTTGGCCTACTCCGCGGTGGCTCCTTGTGCGGCCCAGAGAATCTCGAGGAAGCCGCGATCTGGGGGACCATCTCGGCGAGCTTTGCCATTGAGCAGATAGGCATGCCCGTTCTCTCACAGTCAGGGGACGGGGAAACGTGGAACGGTGTTGGTGTCCAAGACAGGCTTTCAGATTTCAAGCAGCGGCTGGCTAGTTATGTACAGCCTTAGTCGCGTTGGCTGCTCCCTATACCCCCCCTTCATCTCCAATCTAACCCTCAATTGTCCTCTCGATGATGTTCTGGTCTTGTTTCCGCTCATGCTCCCTGATCTGTTTGCTCCAGCTGTGCCGTGGTTAGCATGCATGCGTAGGCTAAGGGTGCAAGTGCAGGTCGTACTATCGGCTGGGGAAGAATCGGTGGCGTTCGGGCATCTTGTCGCGGTATTCGCGGTTTGCGCTGAGCATCCAGGCCATGCCGACGATGCTGCCGAGGGCGAGGCCTACGACGGCCGTGTTGGCTTTCCAGTTGGCTGGCTGGGCGTACCAACCACCAGCCGGCGACCAGACGTGCTTGGGGTATCTGCTGGGCGTCAATTCTGCACTGGCATGCAATTGGCAGTCGGCTCGTACGGGATCTTTCCTCCTCCGCCCATGGTGAAAGTAGTTGTGCGGGTTCGTGGGGTATGCGGTCTGCCGTCTGCGGAGCTGCCGTGAGGTCGCAGTCGCATGGTAGGGCTAGCACGGGCCCCGGGCTTGGCGGAAATTCTTTGGCAGTCGCGATCATGACCTGTGTGAACACACGACCGGGCCAATTGCTGCTGCTGCCGACTCCGCCGTCCTGATTCTTCTGCCCTCCTCTCTCGCATTTTGCCTTAATGAAGCGGATACCCATACAAAGATGCGCCTCGCAACTGCTGGGTGCGCCCTCGCCACGCCGGCCCTCGTGTCCATATACTGCGGCGAAGAATGTACGGAGAAGCGTCATACCTCATAGCCACCGGATACAGGCCAGGCTCCAGAGCACAGCAGCAGTCCCAGACGACGGGGCGTTGGAACTCGAGATCGCAGCAAACGCTGGCACACCAAAGACACACAGGTCAAGACAGCAGTCACGGCAGCTTGAGAGCCTGCCCTCCCCACATCCCAAAGCCGCCGAGCGTTCGACCAAACTACACGCCCTGCGAAGTCGACTGTCCCTCCCGCCTCGCTTCCCCCTCCAAGCCCTCGCACGAACCCTCGTACACCCCTCCGCCGACCCCAACCCCGCCTTCAATAATGCCTCACTATCCATACTCGGACGCCAGCTGCTTGGCTACTACACCTCCGAGTGGCTTCTGTGCAACTATCCCCGTCTGCCAACAGACGTCGTCTTCGCTGCAGTAGAGGCCTACATTGGCCCGAGAGCCCTCACCACAATTGCACGCGAATGGGGCATTGAGGCCGCCGACGAACCGGGTGGTGAGGTCGATCCCGGCCTGCTACAATTCAAAAGAATACCGTCGGGTCATGACCTGCCACCCGAGTTGAGACGACAGGCACCCTGGAAGTGGAATATCACTACCACCCACAAGATCATGAAAACCGACGAGTTCGGCTCCAACAATGCCGCACCGAGCCCACACGCGCTACAGAGCACACCGGTGCCATTGGAAGACGCCGCTTCATCCTTTGTTCGAGCACTCATCGGTGCCATGCACGTACACCTTGGCTCTCCGCTCGTCAAGCGGTTTTTCCGTGACCACTTCCTCAGCCGACATCTCGACATCAGCACAATCTTCGACTTCCGGATGCCCACTCGCGACCTTTCACGGTTATGTGCGCGGGAAGGCTTCGAAGCACCCGTCGCCCGAATAATTTCAGAAACCGGTCGTTTGAGCAGACATCCCGTCTTCGTGGTTGGCGTATACAGTGGAAAGGATAAGCTAGGAGAGGGGTCAGGCAGCTCATTGGACGAGGCCCGGACACGGGCAGCGGCAGCAGCGTTAAAGGCATGGTACCTCTACAAGCCAGTCGAAGTCACTGTCCCAAGCAGCATGGAGGGCGAGTTGGATACGAGCAAATGGCGGCCGAACCACATCGACCACGGAGAGGTTATTGTGTAAGATATACGGCATTAACCACACTTTGGGGTTGTAGAGCATCTACTTTGGACATAGATGGCATGGAGGCACAGCATACTCTTCGCTTGTACAAATTAAGAATAGTCGAGGGAGGGGAGAAAAAGAACTGTGTCGGAAGAAGGCCGAAGAGGAGGGGAAGATTTACGCCACGTTATGCCACGTCGAGGGTTCAAGGCCGGCGCACCCAGCAGCAGTGCGCATGTATCATATGTGACATGAGGATACCACGATGATCCGCAATGTGTACAATATAAGACGAAATGTTGCATCACAATACCCAGTACCCGTCAATCCGAGCCTTTCTTGATGCACTATTTCATATTGACGACAGTGAGACTCTTTGCAAACAAGGTGCAAGCTGAACTGACCCATGTTCGTGACACTGTAGCTTGGATTCAATCTTTGGAAAGTAGTCAGATTCTTTCTTTTGCGGGGCCCATGTATGAACGGCCTTACAATTTGGCACTATCGTTAGAGAGAGACAGAGCAGTGGGAGAAGAAACTTGCTGAAGAGGAGGAGAAGGATGAAGAGACTGATGAAGGAGATGAAGATGCTACCGCAAATGTTGCGTATTTGAGTCTCTTCCGTCGATTACTTGAGGAAGAACGAAAAGACGAGAGCAGGGGGTACCATGAGAGAATGAAGCAGGAGGGACGGTGAAAGGAGCAGTACGATACCAACATCTCCATATGAGAAACAAGCTCCCGTCTGCATCGCTTATAATAGTCTTCCTCGAAAGATATTCGCGATCTGGAGCTTTCTCGGTAAATACCTGTAAACTATGGCAATAATCTTCAGGATGCATCACAGCGTTTTGGTGATAATTGAACATGGAACGATATTTGTGCACTAGCATAACGTTCCCAAAACAAGATTATGCTGGCAAAACTGTTGCTATTCCCTGTAACTGGGCGCGCTCTCAAAGTCATTGCTAACGAGACTAATCCATTGAAGATACCTGGGATATAAACGCGTGCAATGAAATCAGGGACTAGCACGACGCTATACATGTAGCTCATCATTATAGTCTTTGGAACATCCTCCTCTTGATGTGGTTGCAGCTCAAAATCATTCTTCTAAAATGCACGCTGGGTACATCCACTGACAGCATGTTACCAAGCGAGGTGAAAACACAAAGAGAGAAGCAACGAACAAGAAAGTCTTCCAAGAACGGGGTCGCAAGAAGGGGTATCAAAGGTCCGACCCAAATTCAGAACGGACAAGATAAGAAGAAGGTAAAAAAGGGTACCTGGCCCATCGTTATGGGATACGTTTCCGACTCGTCCTCGTTGAGATTCGTTTCCGTCTCTCTCCGAGCTGTCAAGTTTCATGTACTAACCATCCGGCTTCGGCGTGCCGATTGACCGAAAACTTGGAAAGTCGATGTCTAACATGTTTCGCCAAGTATCACCTTGGCGTAAGCTCTTGTTTGACATACTGTTCGAGGTTCGACGTCTTCTTTACCAGCCGCCTGCCGGTTCTAATCTGCGGGTCTGGGTTTGGAAGTACCCATCGAAGACGCTTAGTTCTGGTTTGCGCGGCGCGTGGTGCTCCGAAATATCGACCAACGTCGCAGCTGGTGCACCATTTACGCCGAGAGATGCTGCTGCTTGCCCACTATAGCCACCACCATCCAAACTACGTCGTCTTCCTCCAGTAGCTTTACCACTACCCAGACTCGCCAGAACAAATCTCATCTTTATTCTATCCTTTGGTCCTGGTAAGAGCATCTTCTCAATAATGGTCAGCCATTCGGATTCCGCCTTCAACTGTCTTAGCTTCCGGCCAGATCCGACCAGTCCGTTTCTAAGGTTCGAAGTGGTCGCTGCATGCAGTCTGTTTCGCCAGCTTGCGACTCGATCGAGGTGTGCGTGGTATGAGGCATCCTGGGTGGATGCTGCCCGATATTGCGCAAACACAGATAGTGACTGGCCTTGTGCCACCGTCATCATCGATAGAAACACGCAGCCGAGCGAGAACACGTCCGCCATTCTTTTACCACGTGAGACAATCGCTTCGGGTGCTGCATAGACATAAGACTGATCCTGGAAGTACATGTGAAGCTGGTCTAGGCGTTGAGAGTTCGCCATAGTCGGACTGAATGTGTCGATGCTCTGTCCAATGTCGAAAGGAGCGAGAATAATGCGAGCACCGTCTATTAGGATCTTGCGAGGTCGAATGCTCCGGTGGCAAATAGATTGTGAATGAAGATATTCAAGGGCAGAGGATAGATCATACATCCAGTCCACCAACAACTTGGAGCGGTTCGGGTCGCTCCCAGGTAGCGCAAGGTAGTCGTCCAGAGTGTATTGCGCTTTCTCCGTCACGATTCCAACATGGCTTGGCTGAGAGTATGAGCAAAGCAGTTTTGCAATGTTCTTATGCTCATGTTGCTTGAACTTGTTTATCTGTTCCAAGAGCGCAGTCTTTTGAGAGGCACGAGCAGTAACAAAGCGCTTTCGCACTAGCACGCGATCATCGCTGTTACCTTGCATCCGAACCCAGTCAACGCTCTTTTCAGAATTGCGCGATGATCGAATAAGACTGATATGCTGTAGGGGTACTGTTTCTCGTGCAGTGAAGTCGACATGTGCGCCCGTCAGTGGTAGTTCCTTGGATGTGGCGCGCCATTGCTCCTCAACGACTTTGCGTGCATTTCCCACAATGCCTTGGAGACGATCCTCCGGGAACGGCAAGCTCTCATCTCGAAGATCAAAGAAAGAGGCTTGACGCCATGACGCAACATCGTCGCAGACAAACAACAGAATTGCGAGCCTAGGGTTAGACAATGTCCATTGCCATATCTTCTTTACGAGACCAGCATCCCATCCCTGCTTTCGTACGAGCTCGTAGAACCATCCAGAAAGAGACTGACCCTGAGATGATAGAATAGAGGTGTTGATGTATCCATTCACCAATGGTACTAATGGAGCGACAGGTTGTCGATATGGATTCATGGGTGAGCCTGGGTAGTCACCATTTCTGAACGATTCCCCAGGAGTTTGAGGAGGTGGAGACATGGGCGCGAATCCTGCTACCGGATTGATCACCCTTATTGGCTGGGGAGCAATAGGTGTTGTCGATCGGCTGGTGTAAGGCGGGGTATGCTTTGGGCTACCTTTTGGGGACGAGGAGTCGGTCGACTTGTTGGAATATGTGGAAGCTGGGCTGACCATCACGTTTGACCATGGGTTGTTGTTTGTGGTTGTTGGTGTTGTGCTTCGACTGGTGGCAGACGAGACCGACGAGGTAGTAGGGGATTCAGTCTCACGACCTTTGTACCACGACTGATCATCATCGCGGAGATTGACCATGGATATGGTATGCTGTAGACTGTATTGAGGTTTGGGGTATTGCATCGCAGGCGTCCGCCATGGGGAGTTCGATGCGTGTTGCATGGCGTAGAGCGGATGGAGCCCAAGTCAGGCGAAAAGCGTGACCAACGAAGAGAGCCGTAGATCAGAGAAAGATGTTTGCAGCGACTGAAGGTTTGCCTCGTATGGGCTCGTGACAATATGCAGAAAAAGAAATAAGAAGTATCAGCGTAACAGAGTGAGGAACGTGAAAGCCTTGAAGGACGACTTGGGTCCAGGTGCCCTGGTCTGCAGAAGAAGTACAGCGGCACTCTTCGGGCAGAGTCAACCGCTTACACTCCAGCGAGCCCAAATAAGGCTGCTCCCAGTAAAGGCCTAGAGGCTTTTGATGTGCTGGCAATTACTCGCCCGCATTTCGCCAAACATTAGTGGAGGATGACAATATATGGCCTTAGACAGTGGGTGTATGTGTTGGGCGAATGCACGCTGGGCACGAGCGCACCTATGTGGATTAGTTGTATGCAGGCGAACGTGGCCACCTCAGAGTCGCCTTCGTCGTCAAAGGCGTAGCGTATGCATATGTTCGCAGCCCATACTTTCCCGTATGGTGCCAGATCATCGAGCAGTCTGATATGAAGCGCGCGATCCGTCCCGTACCCAGTAAGTGTGGTCTGCAGTGTGCCTGACTATGCGCAGCGTTGCGCGACAAAGCCGCTAGGTTACTGCAGGACCAAGAGCACACGAGAAGTGACGAGAGCAGGACACAGAACCTCCGTGCTCTGATACACGAAGAACAACTATTGGCGCAGAAGGCCATACCGAGGAGCTTCTCGCTGAGGTCTCTGCCGGGAGGGCCAGAAGGACACGAGGTTCGGCAGCTCACCGTCTCTTCTCGGCATCGGGACAGGGAATAATTTATCTCCGTGTGGCTTCGGGAGTGACGTGCCTCCACAGCCGTAAGCGGCTGGATCCATCAGGCGGTATTGAAAATGCGGTCGATGTTGTACAGTTGTTCAGATGTTGTGTGACCAGGCGACACGCCTGCATCAGCGCGAGTGTCTTGCTCCTTTGGAACTACGGTTTCATACTTCCTCCTCCCCACCACCCGCAATACCACTATACCTCTTCCAATTTAATTCTACCAACTTCCTAGTCGCATTATCCCTAAGAACATGACCCTAATACGCATATCTAAACGTCTACACCTTAACTACCAGTAACTTCTGACATATCTCCTCTACTAAATCAGATCCACAGCGCTGTTGACTGCTGGTAGCAGGCCATGTACTTATCCCTCCTCATAGCTACGGAGATTTTGCGCACCACATTTACATCGCACATACAAGCCAGATGCAAAGGTCAAAATCCTGTATCGGTGGGCAGAAGCATGTGCTCGCAAAAGGCGGGACAGTCGCAGCGAGACAACTTAAAACGATTAGCTCTTAGCTTTTAGCTGGCCGAGGCGAACTACGAATGTGTATTGCGATGAATTGCTGTAGGTACCCCTCCAGTGAGCATATCACGATAACTCCAACGGGCGGACATGCCCATTAGGGGGTGACAGCGGCCGCTACTTGTGTCAACATGGCTTGTTTCTGAGGAGACAAGCGCCGCAAGCCTTACCGGAGAGAACCCCATATACGCACATGGCGCAGTAGAGGTTGGTGCAATGGAAAACTAAGGACATCGACTTCTAGGCGGCTTGAGGGTGAAACCAAAAAGCCGGGAAAGACGGCACGAGCAACGCTCATTGGCTCGGAGATTAGTGTCACGTGCGAGACTAGCGCACATGTGAAGCGCCCCTAGTTTTAGCATCGTTGCTTGACTCCAAACCTCAACACCAATTGTCTCAAGGGGCCGAGCATCGTCATGCCCAGTGCGTCTCCACTCCCGAACGGTTCGATCTCCAGGCCAGAGCTTGGTTGGCTCCCACTGAATGCGGCTCAACTATGCTAAATTAAGCTTGTCCTTAGTCGCCCCAGGATCAACGCATAGAAATGTCTGGTGCCACCCGTCACAGCCTCAAGCAGAACCCGTCTCAACTCTGTTATGGAGCTTCAAGCCAGTCTTGGTGCTGCTTTTCGAGTCTGGTGCCCGACCTGAGTCACGCCATTTGCGAGGTTGCCTCATCCGATCCACCCATAGCCGTGATTCGCACACCGCGTTTCTTCATGCTCTCGTGTCCGACTTTTCTAATTCGCTTCTGCTAATGACACTTCTAATGCCCGTTTCTTTTGAGCAGTGATTGACTTTTCCATCGTCGTTCTTTCTTCGTTCGCCACTCTTTTTCTAGTAAGCTGCTGGGCAGCACGGCCACCTTCGCACTATCGACTTTAATATCACGGTGTCGACTAATACTACTTCGACCATGTTTTTCAAGAACGCTCTTGTAGGCGCTCTGCTTGCTGCTGGACACGCAACTGCTTTAAAGGGCCCTCAAGTGAACGCCCTTCTTCAACCAGGCCAGGACGTGGAGGAGGTACTTCGACGGGATGCAGAACTCATGGCAACCCTTACACAAAGACAAGACGCCAACGCGGCAGACACAGCGCCACTAGCATCGCTCACACCCGCGACTGGCGATGCGTCGGGTGTGGATCAGGCGAAGTGGGAGGAACAGACAAAGCAAGCATGTATGAGTACGCTGAGCAACCTCAACGGCCAAGCATCGAACCCGAGCGGAATTGCTGTATGCTACAACCTACCCTTCCTCGACAACAAGACGGGTGTCTTTCAGGCGGAGCTCCGAATGTATAATGTATCAGCTCCCATCAACCCGTGGGTTGGCGTAACCGCGGCCGATGTCAGTATGACACTCTCGTACCTTGGCGCGACTGTGCAGAACATGCAAGGCAACTTCACGAAGCGCGACCTCAGCTGGCCGGTCAGTGATGGTATGCTAGTGGAGAGGCAGGACATCAACACTATGACGGAGTTGAAGGTCCTCATGTATGTTGGGCGGATCAATGAGAACTTGATGGGCTCAGCCATGACCCAGTAAGTAGTCGTCTTCTTTCAACATGCTTCGGAACTGATATATTTGCAGAGAATCCCTACAGCCCCTTCTCGTCCCACAAATCGACCTCGCTGCGCGAAACCCTGCTACTGGTCAAGACGTCGAAACCACCCTCTCTTCCCAGGAGGCATCCTTCGTTAATGGCATCTTCTCTAAGGCAGGCACCGCTCCCACCAATGCAGACCCCCAAGCAGCAGCATCCGCATCCGCTGCCGTTTCTTCGGCTGCACCGTTTGTCATCCCTGGAACCGCATTGGCTTTCTTCCCGATCGGTCTTGTCGTCACATCAGTATGGGCCCTCTTCTTCTTCCTAGCCGTCGGGTTTGGAACATACGGTCGCATTCAGTACCGTGACCAGTACAGAAGGCGTGTGCGAGCTGAACAGGCACGTGGTGTTCGCACCATCTAATACCTATCTTTGGTGCTTTCATTCGTCCTACTATTACCAAGAGCTAGCATCAAAGGTTTGAACTACTACGAAGATTACGTTCGCTGCTATACCCCTTCCCTTTTACATCTTGTACATAATTCTGGTGGTGGTGGAGCCAGCTCCTTCCATAATCTTTCCTGCAGCATCCCGGTGATGAAGTCATATCTGTTCTCGGCGGTGCGATAGAAAAGCATATCTAGCAAGTAAAACAATGGAAAACTCAGTATTATCGAAGGAGCTTTTGTCTCTCGTTCTGCCCGTATTCTCCAATTCTCTTCCTTCCAATCACCATCGATCTCACGGTTGCAACCGTTAGTCGGGTGATACAGAATACGCACGCGCTTCTGTCTGAATCAGCAGAGCTTGCCACTAGCTCACACCGGATTGAAAACTTTCTTCTCCTTACTCCCAGTCTTGCAACCCAACCTAATTGAGAACTCTTTCGATTTTGGCAGGTCCCATCATGCTTAGACAGCTGACTGGCTCGAGACAGCAGTGGCTTTTAACAACGCTGTAAGTGCCTTGGGGTACGACACTTAGTGGCGGCGGGAATTTTCTCTTGCATGGATTTTATGGAACTCAAAAAGGGCTGACTTGCTGTAGTGAAGTGGCTGTACTCTGATACTTGCTGCCATCGAATCATTTTGTCCACAGACATCCGACCCCAATCTTTACTCTTTGCTATTTGCGTCCTTTACAACCATACGCATTCAATGCATGGGGTATGAGGATCAGAGCCACGTCGAATCAAGACAGGAAATCGATGCAAGTCTCTCTTCAAGGCAGCCAACAGTAGCGTTTGTATAGTGAACACGCGCACAAACTCAGATCCGGCGTACCTAGGTAAAGCGCCTTCACAAGGCGAACGAGTGCCTTTTCGGCTCTTTAATCTCCTAAACCCACTCGTCAATCGCCGCAACCACCTTTGACACTTCTCTAACACTCTTCGTGCGCAACAATATTTCTTTTCTCTTACACTCTACTTACTGGATCAGGCGCCTTGATCGCCAGTGCCTTCTCACATCGCTACCCCATCAGAAATATACTCTCGACAAACACTCGTTCTTGCACACCTCCGAAGCGCTCTCAACAATATCAGAAACTTAGATATCATGAAGGCCAACGCCATATTCTTTGCACTTGCCGCCGCCACCACAGCATCTACTGTGTCCGCTATGAATGAAGGCGAAAAACTCGTAGCTCGTGATGCGAATTGCGACTTCTGCTTCGAGCGTTTCGACTTCTGTATCAAGGTAAGAGGACAAAGAGCTTGAAGCTGGGATGTGATGCATACTGACGAGCGTGCAGAACGGTCATACTGAAGGACAGACCGGTTGCAAGCAGACCTGTGTTGAGCATGTTTGCCATGTGTACCGCTCCCAAGGCCATGAGGTAAGTCTTCGAATAGCATTAAGAGTTACTAGATTGAATTAGACTGACTTGGTATAATCAGTGCAAGGACTGCGGCGGTGTATTCGACAAATGCCGTGAGAAGTCGCGTTACGCCTTCTAAGTAACGGACTCGAACATGATATTTCGGCTCTCTCGGTGCGCGCCATTCTTATCTGTGAGGGTTAGAAAGTCGTGCAATTCGGAGAAGCATGATACCAGGAAGCAAATTGGGATTATTGATGGCGTTTTATCTGCCGAATACTTGTCGGATACTGGTAAATTGCTCGCCGTAGCAATATGATCTTCCCTCAAAACTACATCTATTCTTCTTCACGGAACACCATCTTACGGCCTAAAGTTTGGTCTTTGGAACAGCCCACTCTCCCTTTTCAGCCCTCGCACACATGTCCTTGAGCGTTTCGGCAGCCCACTCAAAGTCCTTCATCTCCAGATACACTTGGCCGCTCAATCTCGTCCACCAAACACCACCGTACCAGTAGATCATGATGAAAGTGCTGTACTCTTCGCAACTTAGCTTTTTCATCCAGTCCCTCACCATGATGCCAACATCTTCTTTATCAATTCCATGCTTGGTCGCGACATCTTGAACTTTAGGGAGCGAAATTGGTAGGCGCACGTTGGACAAGCAGCACCGTCCGAGTGTGCCAGTACTATTTTCCATGACCTCGGTGCCGAGGATCTGTGCAACATGTTGGGCAGCTCGGCGAACGAGAGTTTGACAGTAGTTCCTGATAACGTCTTCACCTCCGATATTCTCTCGCCACTTTAGGGCTGTGGGTACACACAAGTACGGGCTGTTGTCAATGGTACCCACAAACTCGAAGTTGGCAACAAAGGCGGGTTTCTCCATATCAACGAACGCTGACTTGGTGAAAGCTGATTGTTCAGAGGAGTTTTGTTCGATGCCCGGCTGGGCGTGAGACTGGGCGAAAGTCCGCTTTGGGAAGGGAGAGACAGGCTTTTCGCCCTTCGGTATGAAGCCGTGAGAGGTCGGAAGGGTACTGCGTATAACACCTTGGTTCCGGTCTGCGACGTGGAAGATTGCACAGCCGCGGGGAACGTGTAGCCACCTACGTACGGTCAGTGGGTTTTCAAAGATGAAGAAGAGAGAAGAGACGGACTTGTGGCAATTGCTCACGAAGAAGTCTGGGTCCAACATTCCTAGATCGATCTCGACATGCCCAACTCCGTGAGCCCCGTCGATGCAGCTCATGACTCCAAGCTCTTTACACTTCTGCGTCAAGCGCTCGAATGGCATCCTGACTCCAGGCATACTGACTACTGTATCGAAAATTGCAATTTTCACCTTTCCGCCCTTGTTCTCCACTTCTTTGACCTTCTTTTCGAATTCCTCAAGAAGCCAGTTGTCTTCAACGGGGAATGTGTACCCGATTTTGACGCTCTCTGCAGGAGTAGTTTCCGTGATGAGTGACACAGTCTTCTCGCAAGCTCCATAAATGGTGCTGAAGATAAGAATATGATCGCCGGGTTGAAATTCGATGTTGCGAAGGACTGTATTAATACCAGTCGTGGCATTGGGAACAAATACCAGCGTCGAAGAAGGTGTGTTAAGCAGCTACAGTATTTAGTAAGATCCGTTGATTCAGTGATACGTATGTACTAGAGGTGTCTTAGGCGACCGCCTGAGACAAAGTGATACGTTTCCAAAGCAGAGCGAATCGGCTTACCTTAGCCATGCCTTCTCGAGCCAGATCAAGGTATTGGGGATACTTGTAGATGATGAAAGGATCTGGTTGAGCTTCACATTCGTCTTGAAAAGTGCGCATGGCATCGCGAACTATGCGAGGGAATGTTCCGAAGGAGCCTAATAGTCGTCAGTCCTCATGTACAACAGAGCTGGGGGGGAGGTTGTCTCGGAGTAAAGGTATCAACATCATGATAAGGGAACATCCATGAACGCTGATTCAGCGAATGGATACCTCCTACTATAGAATCAGACAAGACATGTTAACGTACCATGGTTCAAATTCAAGAATCCGTTCCCAAACAAGAACTCCTTCTCTCTCAATTCCTTTCCAAACTTGACACCATCTTTTGTCTTGATTTCCAGGGCGGCAGATGCGCCGTTCTTTGAGCTTGACGTCATGACTCAGACTGTGTAGATGATGTTATCTGGATCATGAAAAGCTGCGTGAGACATCCACGACTATATACACATCTGAGACGTGACTCAATACTGAACGGTGACTGTTTCTCTGGAATGGCTCGGCGCATATATCCATACTGGGCTTGTAGGGCGTAGTGTAGCGTCGGCGACGAGCGATTGACCAATCGGAGCTGCTGGCGGATAGAAGCGGATGCTTTTGTGGGTCTGACGTGGTCAACCGCAGAAGCACAGCATCAAGATTGCTGGATTGCACCTTTACCAAAAACGCGTCATTCAACATCCCCGGGTTTCAGACTTCGATTCTTTATTTCATGCTGTTGTGTTCCAATCGAAAGGTCCCAGAGGTTAGAGAGCTTGTCGCGAGATATAAGCAGTATTCTAAGTCGTAGGTACACTACGCTGGAAGTTCTAAATACTTGCTTCGAGGTAGACCGTCTTTTGTTTTGGTGCTATCTCAACATAGAAAAGTACGATTGTGTCTATAATGACTGGTATATGTAGAATTCAGGAAGTATCAGGTTCTCGTGTGTACTTAGGTAACGAAAGTGATAGTGATCAACCCGCTCTTATTCCCGCCCTACAACCGTTGATGAATAGCAAGATGGGGACAGCGCATATCGGCTGCACATCGGTCCTCACCACATTCCATTCCGCTTAGTCTCAACCTGCGCAAAGACATAAACCCAGATAGACTTGGGGGAACAGTCACATCGCCCTACACCGCTTCACACCTCGACAACGGCGATAATGGCCAAACTCACATCATCCCCGAACATCGACGTCTTGGTGATTGGTGGTGGCAATGCAGGTTTCTCTGCCGCCACTGCCGCTGCAGAGGCAGGAGCCCGTCGAGTTGTCCTCATCGAAAAAGCTCCTGAAGAATGGGCAGGAGGCAACAGCTACTTCACGGCGGGCGCGTTCCGGACTGTGCACGACGGTACAAGCGACCTCCTGCCCATCGTCAACAACGTAGACGCAGAAACAGAAAAACTCATCGATATGGAGCCTTATACAAAAGAAGACTTCCAGAAAGATATGGAGCGTGTGTGTTTAGGGCGTTCAGATCCAGAGTTGAGTAAGGTGCTGATCGAAGAGTCTAACGGAGCTGTAAAATGGCTTGCGAAGAATGGGATCAGATACCAACTGTCGTTCAATCGTCAGGCTTACAAGGTCGATGGGAGGTACAAGTTCTGGGGCGGCATGGCACTTATGACTCAGGATGGAGGAAAGGGTCTAATTGCGGACCATCAGGCTTCAGCTCGAAGTTACGGGGTTGAAGTCTATTATTCTATGCCTGCTAAAAGTATCGTCACTTCATCAACTGGTGCTGTTACGGGTGTGATAGTAGAACATCTGGGCGGAGACACACTTGTCAGGGCGAAGGCTGTCGTTCTCGCTGCAGGAGGCTTCGAAGCAAACCCACGTATGCGTTCACAATATCTCGGGCCAAATTGGGATCTTGCACGCGTTCGTGGTACCCCGTTCAACACAGGCGAGGCTCTTGAATTCGCTATTCGTGACGTCAATGCCAGGCAAGCGGGTAATTGGTCAGGATGCCATTCTACTTGTTGGGACGCCAATGCTCCTGCCAACAGTGGCGACCGTGAAGTGTCGAACGAGTTCACAAAATCCGGCTACCCTCTCGGTCTAATGGTCAACACCAATGGAGTGCGCTTTGTTGATGAAGGTGTCGACATGCGTAATTACACGTATGCCAAATTTGGACGCGCTATACATGAACAGCCAACCAGTGTGGCATACCAAGTCTGGGATCAGCGCACGATCCCGTGGTTACGCGATGAAGAGTACAGGGATGAGCGAGCGCAAAAGGTTTGGGGTGCCACACTCGAAGAACTGGCAAATAATCTAGCTAAAGACTCGGGGTTGAACGCTCCAGATCAGTTCGTTGAGACAGTGAAGCAATACAACGAAGCTGTGTATGCATCGCAGATCGAAAATCCTGACAAGAAATGGGATCCTGCGACAAAGGACGGTCTCACTACGCAGTCATCCGAAAAGAAGCTGGCGCTAGCGAAGTCGAACTGGGCATTACCACTCGATCTAGGCCCATTCATGGCAGTCAAAGTATGCTGTGGTGTCACCTTTACCTTTGGTGGACTGGCTGTGAACCCGAAGACCACTGCCGTCGTTTCAAACTCTGGTAAGGAGGTTGCGGGGTTGTTTTGTGTTGGTGAGATGCTTGGCGGATTGTTCTATGGCAACTACCCTGGAGGCAGTGGATTGACCTCTGGAGCAGTTTTTGGAAGGAGGGCAGGGACTGCAGCTGCGAATGTAGCCGCTACTGGACATGCTCCAACGGTTTTGTCGCCGCGGCCAGCGATTCTTTCACTCTTGTAATGAATATGGATTTGGACCATCATGATTGGGGACATCAAACATCATCGAACAATACACAATTATATTGGCTACATAGTTCTCGAGATTTCAAGGAACTATGTCTATCTAGTAGATGGACAGATGCGGCCGTCTCTTTGAACTTGTACCAGCTAGCCACTTGTGAAGAAAAGTGAACAGCTCATGCTCCCGAAAACACTAATCTCGTCGTGTTCAATGTGTAAATTAGCAGATACGAGCTTCTCCGCATGCTTGGTAGGGCATACTCCCAATGAATCATCTTCTTCCGTTTGCTCGAGAATAGCAAAACCAGGGCGACCGCGTCCGTAGCTCGTTTCTTTTGGGCTCTTCGAGAATCTATCATCCATATATTGAAGACTTATCAGTGCTTAAAGGCCGGTGGAGCTCAAGAACAGTCCGCCTGGGTGGCAGGTATTGGTGATGGCGACACGCTTCAGATGTTATGGAGAGAAGCACTCAAACAAATCACGCGAAGGGCGCCAGTTGGTATCGCGATTATCTTCTCGCCGGAGATCGCCCAATACGACGCTCTGTTACTAAGCAACAGACTCCCAAAACTCTCCAACCAGACATGAGATTCCGCAAATGGCTCCGTGATCTTGGGGAAAAGCCATTCGCTCTCCATCTGAACACACTGTCAAGAACATTCGTCCTCATCGAGCGCTGGTTATCCGCATCTCTGGTGTTCCAGCCCTCCTTGGAAGAAAGTCTCAGGTAAGGCACGGTCCGAGTCCGATAATTCCCATTTGAACCAGGTACCATCAAGGCGCTTTGGTTGCATAGGATCAAATCGAGAGTGCTTTATCTTATTGAATTTGTGCAGCAAGTGCACAAGATACTGTGTCACTGGATTCTTCCTGTCGAGCTTGTCCCGGCCGGGACCCTAGCTACCATACGTTCCAAGGTCGAGTCGGGGTTGTCGTTGACTACCTTTTCCTAGTTCTCTTGGGGGCAGGTTTTGGTTTGGCGCGATTCGTTCGGCGAGTGGTAGGCGCACTGTCTTCTTCAGACTCGGCACTAGATTCCTCTTCGTCTCCGTCCTCGTCTTCTTCTTCTGCGGACTCGGACATGGTGCTCTGAGCCTTACTGTTCTTCGCAGCGTTAGCTCCAGCCTTGGTTCCCTTGGCACTCTTTGCCACCCTGCCTGCCCTTGTGCCTTTTGCGTTCTTGGGTACGGGCGTGGCTTCAGCTACACTCTCGGCCTTTTGCGAGCGTACGCTATCGGGCAGGTCTTTGAGTAGACCGATGCCTGGCGCGTAGAGGTCCATGTATTCCTGGGTAGGTATCACGGGCGGTGACGAGGCCGTGGCAGAGGATTCGCGATGGAAACGCTGCTGCCACATCAACTCGCCGTATTCATCTTCTGGCAATTCGAATTCTGGCATGTCGCTCGCGTCTTCGGGGTCGAGGGGATCAGGGTCTTCGGAGAAAGCGAACTCGTTTTCGCGCGTATCGAGGGCGTCCAAGTCGTATAGTTGCGATAGCTTCTTCCACACACCAGGAATGCGCGTATGAGGTGCGTCGTCGCTAGCAAAACCGTGCGAGCGCATGTCGGTGTGAATGGATATCATGCGGAAGTGCTTGTGCATGCCTGTGACGTCAATTGGTGATTGGCGAATAGCGTGTATTGGACTGTACCTGTTGGCTTCCACTTCATCATGCTCTTCAGCAGCTGTGTCTCCTGCTCATCGGCCCAAGGATCGCTAAGCAGCTCATCTTGCGACTGCACAAGGCCAGAATCTTGCGGTGTTCTGGGCTGTGTGTCGCGCAGCGGTGTTGAAGCTGCACTCGCTTTTGCTTTCTTCCGCGGCGGCATTTTGGGAGGATGCTGATGGTTGGTGTGGGAGAAAAGAGGGATTTGGAGGTAGAGAAACGCGAAGTCGCCAAGTTGCGGGTGCAGTGACGGAAGGTGCAAGCTGCAAGGGTCGCGCGTAGGGCTGAATCGCCAAAACTATGGCGCGTCATACCCCTCACTGTCCACTACTCCACATCCACTGCCATGGATGCGCGCCATTCGATTCACAATGTCTTCAGTACCGATCGCTTATGGCAGCAGCCCTCCTTTTTTGACCATGTCGATTCGCACGAGTCGTCACTCTTTGCTCCGTTGGAGCTAGACAGTGGGTCGTCGCGTCTTTTCAACATGAACATGTGAACGCGTCGCTGACCAGCCACAGTCTCCTCAATCAGACTCGACCATCCGTATGCACCGAAACATGACCTCGAACGCGAACTTCGACTGCCCGATCTCGACACGTTCGAGTTCGGACCTCTGCCAGAGCTCGATAGTTTTGACGACTCCAGCATTTCCATCGATACACCACCGTTAGAGCCCGAGGAAGACGTCTGGAAAATCGCACTTGACCTGGGGCCTGCGAACAAAGATGTTTTGTTCTACACGTGGGAGTCTTTTGAGAAGAAAAGCCATGTCCAAAGCCGAACACCATACATGACCGAGCAGGGGCCTGAGGCTTTTGATGCAACGTTAATACGCGACGAGGGCAAAACCAGTGCTGGACGCGTACTCAAGGGGGATGTACTCTTACAGTCACTCTGGAATCTTGGTCTGGGCCGGTCATCCATTCTGTTCCAGTTCAACACAAAGCTGAAGACATTCCAACCCGCCATACTGCATGGACGAGCCTCGGGACTGAGTCTGCAAGCAGCTCAGAGCTTGATCACCCACTTTACACATACCGGCAACACGTTCCTCTATCTGCGGTCTTTCGCAGAACGGACCTTTGCCTCAGCCACGTCTATTCCTGCAAAGGTTGCTCTTGCCACTTCAGTCTCGAGCATCCTAGCAAGTCTAGAAGACACCCTAGGAAAGCAGTTTACCAAGATCCGCTCACTCATGCAGCTTCAGCACCAGTTTGCTAGACCTCGCAACGTTCTCATACACGTCGCTCGCATGGTAGACGCGGTCAAACATGCCAAAACCAACGAGCAACTGTCATCCATACTACACCACCGTCTACTTGAGCTAGAAGAAGGAGACGAACAGCTTCGTCAGCTATCGTGTCAGGTGCTTAGCCAGGTAGCTAGACCAAGCTTGGAACTTCTCAGTGAATGGATGGGCATAAGGAAAGAGCAAGCGTCTGTACCTATCTGGCAGCGCGGCAGCTTTGTAACTGTTGAAGACACGTCTGTTGATGCTCTTACACTTGACTACACTTATAGATCTGAGATGATGCCAAGATTCATTGCTCCAGAAGACGGCAACACAATATTCGAGACAGGCCATAGTCTTCGCTTCTTGAAGTCACAACATCCAGATCATCCGCTGGCTCGCCTGGATGGGCTGGCAGTTCAGCCTCCAGACATGGAGTGGGGCTTTCAATGGCAAGACATTGAGATACTGGCATCAAAAGCAAAAGCATACGAAGAGAGGCTCAGACAAGCACTTCTCGCTTTTGGTACAGGTTCGACTGATATGGCACCCTCTCTCTTGACACCATCTACACTAGAATCTGCGACAGAAGCTCCAAACAGATCCCAGTCCCTGGATCAATACTTCGAGGAATCTATTCAACGTATGGATGAAGCCCCCAAGTGGTCCTCTCAAGCGCTACCAGACGAACTGCAACTTCTCATGGAGAGGACACTTCAAAATACAAACGAAGATGGCGGTGCTGCCACCAATACCTTCTCGCCGCCCGTGTCTCTGGCGTCTACTCTGTCATTTCGTCCACTCATCACAGCGCAAGCAAAACTCGTCAACGCAGCCACTATCCGGTTGTTCTTCCGTTCGCATCAGCTGCGGCTTCACTTGTCTCTTCAACGACAGTATCACCTTCTTGGCGACGGTGTATTCTCGTCTCTACTGGCAACTGCCCTGTTCGACCCTGACCGCGAGAGTGCCGAACGCCACAAAGGCAGGATGCGTAGCGGAGTACACATGGGATTGCAACTAGGTTCACGAACGTCGTGGCCACCAGCGAGCTCAGAGCTCCGATTAGCATTACGAGGCGTCCTCAGTGAAAGTTACTATTCTTCCACGCTCTATCAGTCAACGCTAGGCGCTGAAGCGATTGTCGCACCTACGGCACTTCTCAACAACAGGGACAACGATGAGCTTCCTGGGCAGCTCAACTTTGCCATTCGCAACCTCACTGAAGCCGAACAAGAGAAAGTCATGGACCCTGACGCGTTACACGCGCTTGACTTCTTACGCTTGCAATACGTAGCACCGGCTCCTCTGAACTTGGTGATTACAAGTACTTCTCTAGAAAAGTACGACTACATCTTCAAGTTCTTGTTGCGACTTCTGCGCATGCTCTTTGTCGTCTCACATTTGCCACGCAGGTATGCAGACAGCAACGCTCGTCAATTCAGGACCGAGGCGTATCACTTCGTCATAACGCTCACAAACTACGTCTTCCAGACAGGTATCACAGAGCCGTGGGACGATTTTGACAATTTTGTTCGAACAGTGGAGACCCGATTACACGAGGAAGACCTCGCGGGGGAACTAGGGATTCGTGTCACGGAAGGCGTCGCTTCTCTGCGCGACACCCATGACAAATGCCTAGACAGTATACTATTTGCGCTGTTGCTCCGCAGACGACAGCGCAAGATCATGGCTCTCGTGGAAGAGATTTTTGACCACATACTCCTCTTCGCCAAAATGCAGAATTCAAATACGCAACAGGGTGGGGAAGGCGTCGAAGCGCTTTACGCGAAGCTCAGGGGAAAGATAAGAGTGTTTTTGAGTGTGTGCCGGGGCTTAACAGGCAAGCAAGGTTACGGCAAAGGAAGAGGCACCGCTGAGGAGAACTCCATGGAGCGGTTAGTAGTCGCAATGGAGATGAATGGTTATTTTGCTTGATTGCAGAAGGCTTGCAACCAGTAATCGTCTTTATGCGAGGAGTCTATCATCAATCCGCAAGGTTATTCCGTTTGGTTGATTCCGTTTGGTTTATTCCGTCTCACACAGCAAGGCAACAGCCCCACTTTTCACACGCGTGTATAGTCCACTGCTTACACCTGCCACCAAAACAACAACCACACACTTGCAATACAGCAAGACATAAGAAGCGACATTCGCCATGTTCTCAGATATAATCACATTGGTGCTTTACTTGTTTCCGAAGCTTGTTCCGAAATGGCCAACCAACGTACACACGTTCTAGACAATCTCCGCACATGCCTCACAGCGCTGGTTATCCTCCACCATGCTTCGACGCCCTATGGCGGCGCAGGTCCATGGCCATATACCTCGCCTATATATATGCCGAACAGCTCTCCCACTCTCCTCGTTTTCAACGTCATCAACCAGACTTTCTTCATGGCCACTTTCTTTCTCATCTCAGCGTACTTCTCATCAGTCGCAGCGAGAAAGAAGACTAGGCATCAATTTCTTAAGGAAAAGTGGAAGAGGCTAGGTGTTCCAACGTTGGTGTTTAGTCTGATCGTGAAGGGGGTTGCCAGAGGGATTCTAGCGTGGAGGTTGAAAGATGAGGACTGGGACAACATTGGTAGAGAGGTCTTAAAGGGCTTGAAGATTGTTCGGGGTGTTTCGGGGCCGGTGTGGTACTGTGCGTTACTCCTTATTTTTGATGGGTTGTATGCTGGACTACTCCCGAGCCATTTTGCAGATAAGTCGCCAAGTCAGAAAGCGATCTTTAAAACACCGTCCGACGTTGTCAACATCAACGCAGCCTCACCTACGGCAAACACTGCCAACTCAACCAAGGAACCACACACCTTTCGTACGACCCACGTGCTAGCTGCAGTCACTTTGACATCAATATCCTCCTTCGTCATCCGACTCTACTATCCCGTAGGTCGACCCCTTTGGCCAATATCCCTCCAGCTGGCTTATGCATCACAATACATACTCTACTACGCTACTGGGATCTACATACATCGCTCTGGACGTTCACTCCCAGGGTCCATCTCTCCATCTACCTTAAGGGTAATTGGTACAAGCACCGCCCTCATAACCTCTATTGGTCTCTTCCACATCCAATACCTAACACGTACCGGCATGTCATCCTCTCAAATCATGCCCCTGGTTTTCGGTGGTCCAAATATGCTCGCCTTGCTTTATGCGTTGTTCAACGAATTCGCAGGCTTTTTCATCGCTTCATTGATCTTGAAGGCCTTTTATAACGCACGCATGTCTTTCTTAGGGAAACGCTGGAGTGTAGGGAAGGTGAGCCTGAGTGTGTATAGTTACGCGGCTTTTATGGTTCATGGCCCTGTGGTCCTCGATTTACAATGTCTATTTGGGAAGAAAGGCTGGGAGGGTATGGGGGCGGTGGAAACGGCGTTCTCAGTAGGAATCTTGGCTGTGGCAGAGTCATGGGTGGTTGGGATGATACTGAAGAAGGCTATCGAGTCGATGAAGTGGGAGGGATATTTGTGATGCAGATGAAGGCAGACGAGAGAAACAAGAGTGATCTACAATGCGACTTGGGAAGTAGCTTTGAGCCTAAGCAACGTTTTTCAGCATTCAAAACTGGACGAGACCGGTCTTTGTATGATGAAGCTGTTTATTGCACTTTCTGTATCGAAAAGAAAAGGTGTGTGGCTGCCTTGTATGCCTTCTTATTGGCAGCGATGGAAGCAAGGGGCAAGCCTGTCCGTATTACGCTGCTAATCTACGAATCAAGTCACAGACGAAGAACACAAAGCTCCTGCTGTGCCACCGAGTCAGCACGTAAGCTATGCACAAGCAATGGCAAGCGCTTGCAGTGTTTACATTAAGATAAATCCGTCTTTGCATGTCCAGATTCTCCATACGTAGGTGCTTGCCTGTCAGTTGTTTTTACCAAAGTTGTGTCGGCAGAGCCTTGCGGTGTTTCCGCCTGGACAAAGACAGCGAAAATCGCCGTCATACTTCCAGATCAAAGCTCAAAGAGTTACTTCCTTAAGGTGCGGCTGTGGTCGATGAATTACCATTGACACCTGCTGACGTGATATCGTGTCCAATAGTACGCTGCTAGCCAGGGCGCCAAACCTCTCACAGAAGGCGAGTACCAATCTGTATGCGCCATTAACGAGATAGTGCCAAGTCTTGTGCCTCAAGCGACAGGTTGGGGAGAGTATCGCGATGGCGATACCCAGATTTATTTCTTTCTCGGAGACTGCCATGATATGGATCTATCGGCGGCGCCAGAACCTGTAAGCTTCGTTGAGAGAATCGCCGAACTGCATGCCAAGGGGAAATCACCGACTGGTATGTTCGGATATCCTGTCTCAACAGTGCTGGGCAAGTTCGAACGTACAACAACATGGGAAAAGAGCTGGGCGGTGTGCTTCGCAAATCAGCTCAAAGACGTTATCAAATATGATAACGAGGTAAATGGTCTATGGCCAGAGTACGACCTTGCATGCGCACAACTCATCGCCAAAGTTATTCCAAAACTCCTGGGTGCCCTACAATCGGATGGCAGAAGCATCGAGTCGGTACTGAGTCACGGCGATCTGTGGGAACAGAATGTCGGGATTGATATGGAGACTGGCGATACGATTTTATTCGATCCAGGGTCCACATATGCCCATAACGAGATGGCGTTCGGCACCTGGAGGGCTTCTTGGGCTTACCATCTCAACTCCCCAGTATACATGCGACTGTATCAGCGGCATATCGAACCTTCCGAACCTGTAGAGGAGTGGGATGACCGGAACCGACTTTACAGCCTGCACCCATACTTGAATGACTCCGCGGGTCACCCAGGCAGTATTTCAAGAGCTACGTAAGTGTTCTTCCCAGAATGGCCCTTCATTTCATCTAACGGCATGTAGAGCCTATAACGATATGCTATATCTGTGTGAGAAGTACGCACCGTTGGAAAGCTTAGAGGGGTACCGTCCTGAGAACGATGTCAGTGTCACCGGGGCTTATGTGCAGCATGAGACCCACATGATGAAAGATGCCCATTTCAACCAGACAACAATGTCGAGTGCTTCTCAGTCTATTCACACCTGAGTTCAGAAATGAAGCGATTCCGAATCTGCAACGTCTGGCCGCCACAGTGGATCATCATAACGATAGGAATTCCGATGATGTTTTCAGGGTGAGAGTAAATACAACGCCAAAATGTTTTACATGCATGATACCAAAGTCTAGAAATGGGCAGAGTTGTGACGCGTCACAGCTCAAAAACGCGTTGGGAGCGCGAGTGCGCTAGCCAGCCCCCCACCATGCGCCTTGCGGGACAGATGTAGAGTAGCCTGTGCTGACACGGATATCACTTTCCACTGTTTAAAAAAAAGATCATGCGTGTTCTTATAGAGTACTTCGTGAAATCCTGGATCTTACTATTGAAATTCCTGTCAAGATGCTTACACTACCTTGGCGCTGTACCAGGTAGGAGAGTTAGTGCTCAAGAATCACACGATCGATTCTCGAGACCGTCGAGACAGAGGATATATCTTCAAGAAGAAATAATCATAGAATTACATGTTCAACTACTATTCCCTAGAACCCTAGTGTCACAGAAAGTAAGGCTAAGAAAGTGAGACAATCGAGAAAGTGACTACCGGAGCGATCCCGCTTTTCTCAAAACGCCCAATAAACCACCCTGAAGATGACTAAACGCCAGACCAAGTGACAAAGGAGAACGCGAATCTCTAACTACCAGTTCCAATGTGACATCCCAGTCCTCTGTCGAAGCCATGCACATTTATCAATCCAAGCCTTTCGGTCGCAACGGAAGGACAGCCATCTAGGCCTTACCCTTCTTCGCAAGGTAGTATGTCAACAAGTTCAAGTGTTGTTCTCTCGCACCAGCAACGGCTTTCCAGAAACCTCCGTCTTCCTTCGCGCCGTCTGATCCGTTTATGCGCTCGTGCAGTGCGACACAAAACTCAATGTCTGCTTTACGCACATCGGCGTCCTGGTCGTCCATGCAGCGTACGGCTAATCTGCCTAGACGCGCAGTCTGCTCAGGTGATAGTGCAATGTTCTTAGCGCCGCTCATCTCGACGAGGGATGCAAGTGTGCTCAACGCCATGGTCGTAGAGCGGGTCGACACTTGGCCAGGCTGAGAAGAGACTGAAGACTTGGAGTTCGGCGAAGACGTTGGGGTCGATGCAGGTGTGTCCTCAATCATTGTGAGGACAGTATTAAGGCAATCCAGAGTCTGGCCGTATTTGACGATCTCGTCTGCAGTTGCCTCCAGGTCAATGGCGATATGCGATGTGTTTTCGTACTGCGCCTTTGTCTGCAGGATGGTACGAAGTACTCGAGAGTAGTATCTTGCAGTCTCTTTGCGATAAAGAGAAAGCAACGCGCGAATCGTTGCTAGAGCCTGTACCTTGAGATTGACAGCCTTCATCTGGGGTGCCTTCAATTCGTGAACTGGGGCCTCAAGGAAATCGAGACATGCCAGTAAAAGTCTGCCAAAGTTCTCGTCATTCGGCCCCCAGATTTCCTGGTTTGACTTGACCATGTCCTGCATGCGTCGGAACATGTGAGCCTCAACCGTGCGTCCCTCAATCTTCTTGATGCCACTTGCAAGTAGTTGTCGGTTCTTAAGCACTTCAGCGTTGTTCGTGTCGTAGCTCTCTGTGTGCAAGACGCTTCCTGTACTATTCGTTTTGTGGTGACCGCGTGGGCGCTCTTCGTTCCCGTTACCCATCATGATATCACTTGACATGCTTCCGGTGCTTTGGCGGCGCTCGTTGGCCTTCTCATTGATGGGAAGCTCTTCAAGGACCTGCTTCTCTGGCCCATTCTCAATAGTTGTGTGTTCCTCGCCGACGAAGGGATCCTCAAACACTTGAACTTCATCTCCGACATCGGTACCACGAGTGCTTGGTCGATCTGGAGACCTTATACGTGGGCTACGCGTTGAAGAGCGCAAGCTAGCGCTCTCCAAGTGACCCATAGATTTCGGACTCCTTAGCGCCGCTGCACGAGGGCTGGGTATCGGCAATCGACCGATTGACTTTCTCGGCTTCGGAGGCGTGTCGTGTGTAGATTGTGTTGTTGGTCGCGCAAGATTAGGAATGACCATAGTAAAGTTGTCCTCGTCTCCTACATCCACAGCTTCATCGTCTACGGATACGCTTCCACCCAGACCGTTTCTTGCTCGGAATGGGATGGTACCACCATCATGGTGGCTTTGCGATCGGACCCAAGGCTTTACCATTGTCAAATCTTCTTCTTGGGCCGGGCTTACAGCGGGGCTCTCGCGACGAGAGCTCATGCTGGGGGATTTGCCATGGGCAATGGGTTGACCAATTCTTGACTTCGGACGCGCCGGGCTGACATTCGGGCTGTTCTGCGTTTGCGCTCGGGGTCTTGCATTGTTCTTTGGCACAGCAGGCTTCTTAGCCGTTGGTGCAGCAGGCGTCTTTTCCGGGGTCATGGAGGGCGTTACTTTTCCAGGTCGTCTAACAGCATAGGGATCGGCTGTCGCTGGTCTATTCAATTCTGGTCGTCGGACAGGACGACGAACGGTGCCCGACATTAATGACCCGGTGCCCGTAGAGTTCTTGAGTGCTGATTTCGTCGACTCTCCAGACATTGCCGAGGGTGGTCGCGCCGGACCTGAGGAAGCCGTGGAAAGGTTCGACGTTGTTCTCGCACCTAACGATTTGGCTGATTGTGATGTTGGCACCGGTGAGTAACTGGCAGCAGCAGAGTTGGGACGCTCAGGGACACCTTTCGCAGCCGCTAGTTTGGCTCTCCTCTGTTCAGCAATCTTCTCCTTCAAGGCGTTACGCGAAGCGCCGGGACCTATTGATTTCGAAAACGAAGCTGTGCTGGTTGACGACGAGACGGCGCCGCCATTCGGGTTGTTAGGATCTCTCTCAAGTGCGGTTTTCTCTCGTTTGTCAAGCGAATCGAACATCCTAGGAATTGTGTTAGTGGCTTCTGTATCAATGCTTCTCTATGGTCAAGCTCACTTCTCGGCCCTTTGAGGCCATACCAAAGCGTAGGTCCAATAGGCGCTTCGGTATGCCTCGCGCACCTTGGGGTTAGCGTCAGTGACGCCTCTGCGGATCAAAGTATCCAATGTCTCGAGGCCTCCTGAGTGTTCAATGTGCGAAGTGTGTCGCTTGATCAAAGTTTTCGCCCAAGTTGCCGAGTGGGTTCGTGGTTGTACGTTCTTGTCTTGTGAGGCCATGGCTACATGCTGCAATACGCGACTGTTGTACGATACGCTCTGGAATATGGTATCTACGGTGACGGCTCCGTTTTGCGCTGCAATGTTCTTCGTGGCACCGCACATCTTGACGAATGATTGCAGGAGGATTTCAACCCAGGGATCGATGGCGGAACCGAGTGTTTTCGCGAGCTCCTGAACCAGCAGGCAGCCGTTGGTGGACATGGTCGTTCGGAGGGAGTTGGCAACCTTGAGGATACCGTCCAGAAGCGACTTGATGCCTGCGATGAAAGTAGCGTGGAACTCATGAGGTGCGTTGCCCTTCAAAATGCGCCTCAACTTGGTGCAGTTCTTGTCTCTGGCGAGCCAATTTCCCTCACTCTCTTTTCCTTCGTAGCAAGGCGCCATGTCGCGGAAAACATCGTCCAGCTCGCGCTGTGTGTAGATGTGTATGGGGTCCATGACTACAACCTCAACTGGAGGAGGCTGCTCTCCCGCAAAGCTGTTTGTGAAACCAGCATCAGGTTGTATTGTCTCGGCGCGTTTAGTTGGGATAGGTCTGGAGATGGGAACGGGCGGTTGCGCGGGCGCGACATCTGTACCTTTAGACATGGCGTCGTCGTCGAGGTGGGTTGTGATGTAGGCAGCAATGGCTTTCCGGACGTTTAGGGCGATAAGTTGCTTCTTGAGGTTCGCTTTGGCGTGTTCTGGTGCGTGTCTATTGTGATGTCAGTCGCTACCATGGCGCGGCATGCCAGCCAATTGACATACCCAAAGAGATCTACGACCGCCTTCTTCGCGGTGTCGCGCACGCCGGCGTCCGCGTCTTCGAGGTTTGCCACGAATTGGTTGGAGTAGCTCTTGAAAGGGAGGCCTTCGGTCTTGTTCATCTGTCATCACCAAAGCGTTAGAACATTTTCTCTCCTTCCCGATGCGCCACGGGGGGTACGGACCTTGACCACCCACAACATGGCAGATTCTTTGGCGCGAGGATTGGTGCTCTTTGCAGCATCGTGCATCAGCTCGTCGATTTCCGTAGGGCATAGATAGTGCAGATCAGCCAGAATCTGTGAGGCGGCACTGCGATGGCTTTCGCGCGCATCGCCCAACTTGTCGGCGAGAATGGAACATAGTATCGGTGACTGTGACGTAAGAATCGACGTCTCTTTCTGGAGTTGCAGACGCTTGATAAAGTGGCTCAGTGTCGAGAAGCCCGTGGAGACGAGGGCGGCCGAGGTGGCGGCAGTACAGGCGATGCGGATGCATTCGAAGATGGGAGCCTGACAGCTTTCAGGGACCCGGTTGTGCTTGATGCTCGATTTCAGCGTGCTAAATAGGGCAAGTCGAGACTGGACATCGGTCGACGGTTTCTGGAGTGCCTTGAGCAGATCCGACGTCTCTTTCTCCATCTTGGGCGCAAATTGGCCCTGTTTTCAAAAAGATTCTGCGATGTTGGAGGCGGGGTTTGTTGTGACCTGCAATGTTTATGGGACGCAACTGCCCTGGGTTCACGCTAGGTCGCCGAGCAACCGTCCGTGCGCTTACACCTCGCCGCACTGCCGCTTACCCCAGGCGCGCTGAATGATCCACCCTCCTACGAAGCTTCTAGAGACGATGCGAACAGCTGGTCATGACGTGGGGCTGCTTTCGAGTCTGCTTTACTCTTCACGTCGAATTGCAGAGGACATGACCTGACTGAGACTTCCTCCCTTGCCACGTCAGTGACCAAGACAGCAACACCACAGTAAATCACTCAAGCGGGGCCGTGGCAATTGGAAGTGATAGGCCATTACACCGGATGCGCAGGCTGCATTAGGGGAACAACGTTTCGAAAAGAGCCGAGTGTGAAAAACAAAAACAAATAGTTTGAGCG